TAGAAGATAATTGTTTCTGTGTATTTCTTAATGGGTAATTATGGAACTCACACAAGTTCGCAGGAGCACCAAGGTGAAAGTGACAGTTAACTCAGTGCTCAGTGATCATTGGCAAAGGTTTAGCAGCTTTCTATAAAAATGGGCCAACAGTTTAAAACAATCAAAAACTGCATCTAGAGCTCTCAATATAACTAGAACTTTTTTGCGTGTCCCCTGCGCTCTCTCTCTCTCGCGCCGCCACTATGCTAACTTTTAATATCTTTTTGTTTTATTGCACGCATGCTACTTCTTAAATGGTACTTGTGGAGTAATATATGAGTGTAAAAAAAAAAAAAAAAAAAAAAACAAAAAAAAACAAAAAAAAACAAAAAAAAAAAAAAAAAAAAAAAAAATGGCTGGTCTCATGTGTGTTTACTTATTTATGGTACACTGCACAGGGGACATTGGTTCAATAAGGTATCTGAAATGATGATAGAATGTTCGTTGAGGAAATACATTAGTCCTAGACAAAATGCACTGAGATCCCCGCTATGCTCGCGCCTGATGCCTTTCAGCTGGTAGCTTGCTAAAGTCAAAGAGAGAAAGAGAAAAAGAGTAAATTACCAAAGCAACCAATTCGTATAATCCAAGTTATAAGAGTTATTAACGATATTAATTTAAAAATGGTTTTAAAATTTTTTTTCCATTAAGTTGATAGCGGTATAGGTGGTATTTGGGTAAATATCTTCTTCAAATGAATATATTTATATTTTTCTGAATCTAAAAGCTTTGAACTGATTTCTTTATATAATGGCACACAGTAACCTAAAATAAAATGTTCACTAATTTGTATATGTTACAGATAACACTAACAATTCATTTATATCTGCAAAATGCTACTTTAACTCCTAGCCACTATGACATTATTCTACAAGAAATGTCATGTATGCAAATGAAAGAAATTAAGTTTCCAATTTTTAAAAAATTGCCTCATTTAGGCCGGGTGCAGTGGCTCAGGCCTGTAATCCCAGCACTTTGGGAGGCCAAGGTGGATAGATCATTTGAGGTCAGGAGTTCGAGACCAGCCTGGCCAACATGGTGAAACCCCGTCTCTACTAAAAATACAAAAAAAAATGAGCTGGGCGTGGTGGCGCATGTCTGTAGTCCCAGCAACTCGGGAGGCTGAGATAGGAGAATCACTTGAATCCAGGAGGCCGAGGTTGCAGTGAGCCGAGATTGCACCACTGCACTCCAGCCTGGGTGACAGACTAAGACTCTGTCTCCAAAAAAAAAAAAAAAAAAGCCTCATTTTGTATATTTTGTGACATCTTTCTTTCCCCAAATTTTCTTAATGGTTTCACAGAAATTCTGGAAGATAATGTGCTCTTAGTTGAGCTTTTTGATTCTCTTGGTGTTCCTAAAATGACAACTACCAGTATTAATGACCAGCTAGTCAAAGAGGGCCTAGCATCTTATGAAATAGGGTAAGTAGATATGTAAACTTTCATTGTTAGTTCATGTTCATATGTAACATTGTAATTGCAAGAAGGGAAACTGGCATATCGTTCCCCATTGGAGATGTGCTTAGACTGTAGACCTGGGAATTTTCCCTGTCCTGGACCAGAAAAAATAGAAAATAATTGAAGTCATTAATCTAATGAGGACTAGAGTGACTTTTCCCTCCATTACTAAGAAACTCAGAAACCAAGAGAAAGGCTCCTTGAGAATGCTTCTAAGGAAAGGAGACTGGTGTCTTATTTCTGCTTAGGAAGCCCCTTGTGACTGATTGAGAAAGGAATTCGGAAGAGAAATGGCAGGATGGAGAATAAGCCTAGTGGTAGAGTAGCTTACATTTCCATTTGTAGAAATGTTAATTTTCCGGGATTCAAGTGGATACTTGGAATGATAACCAGGCTTGGGCCATTGTGCTAATACTTACCCCAGACAGGCTCATGGTTAGGGTGACCCCAGAAGCAGAAGAGTAGAGTGGTAGCAAGGACAGGTGGGAGGGTTTTGAGGTCAAGACAAAGAATTCTTCCACAGTAGGGACTTGTGTAGTGGGAGTGGCCCTGGAGGAGGCTGAGGTGGGCGGATCACTTAAGAAGAGTTTGAGACCAACCTGTCCAATATGTTGTAACCGTCTCTACTGAAAATACAAAGATTAGCTGGGCATGGTGGCATGCACCTGTAGTCCCAGCTACTTGGGAGGCTGAGGCAGAAAAATCACTTGAACCCGGGAGGCGAAGGTTGCAGTGAGCTGAGATTGTGCCACTGCACTCCAGCCTGGGTGACAGAGCGAGACTCTGTCTTAAAAAAAAAAGAAAGAAAAAAGAAAGCCAGTATTCAGATAGCACCCACACGTGATGCCTGTCAGCATAAGCCAAAGAAGTAGTGACACCCCATAGAGGCCTGCCGTGACTCATACTAGTGTTAATGATCTGTGGCCATGCTTTCCTGCTCACTCTCATGCTGGAGGAGCTACAATCAGGAGCTTTTCCACTATAGGTCTCAAATGAGAGCGGAAAAGAAATGAGAATAAACATTCAAATTAATGTTGGTCTGGGCTGGGCACAGTGGCTCACGCCTGAAATCCCATCACTTTGGGAGGCTGAGGCAGGCAGATCATGAGGTCAGGAGTTTGAGACCATCCTGGCCAATATGGTGAAACCCTGCCTCTACTAAAAATACAAAAAATTAATGGGGCGTGGTGGCGGGTGCCTATAATCCCAGCTACTTGGGAGGCTGAGGCAGGAGAACTGCTTGAACCCGGGAGGTGGAGGCTGCAGTGAGCCAAGATCATCTCACTGCACTTCAGCCTGGGTGACAGAGTGAGACTCCATTTAAAAAAAAAATTTTTTTTTTGGACTGAATCTTCTCCTTTCTTTTTAAAGTCAGGGTTATTGAAGTATAACTTATATACAGTAAAAAGTCACCTGTTTTGGGTCCACAGTTAAATGAATTTTGACAAAAATAGTCATGTAAGCATCATCACAGTCGAGATACAGACCTGAGCAAATGCAAACAAATATTTTGCATACAATTCTTTTCATTAACTTTTGTTGTTTTTCAGGTACATCCTGAAAGATAATTCTCAAAAGCATATCGAAGTTTGGGATCCTTCTCCAGAAGAAATTATTTTAAATGAAGTACACAACTTAAACCCTGTGTCTGCAAAATCTCTCCCTAATGAGAATTTTCAGTCACTTTATAATAAGGAATTGCCTGTGCATATCTGTAATGTAATATCTCCTGAGAAGATTTATGTTCAGTGGTTGTTAACTGAAAACTTACTTAATAGGTATATATATTATATATAAGGAAAATATTGCAAATGATTTTATCCTTTATATATTGTTTCAAATATCTAGAAGTCATAAATATAGATTTTACAAGCAAAATTATTTTAAGTTGTCTCTCAGCTAGTTAGAAGTATGAAAATAGGATATCTGTTGGCTGTTTCCCCTGTATTAGAATTTATTCATTCTACAAATACTTACTGAGGACCTACTATATGACAACCAGTATTGTAAGTGTTAGGGATACCCTGGTATAAAACATAGACAAATCTTTGTTGTCATGTAACTTCAACTCTAGTAGAGGGGGAGAGAGTGAACAAATAAAATTTTTAGTGTGGCAGATGGTGATAAGGGAAATAGAAAAAATGAAATATTTGGGGAGGAAGGCACTTTTAGGATGGTCAAAGAAGACCTCAGAGACAGCGACATTTGAAACGGGCCTCAAAGAAGGAGGGAGGGAGGTAAGCCACTTGAGTGTCTGAGGGAAGTTTCTCTCAGGCAGAAGGAAAAGCTAGTTCAAAAACCTGAGGAAGAAATACACTTGTACATTCAAGGAAAAACAAGGTGTCCAGCTTGGCTGGAGTGGAATGAGCAAGTGGGGATAGTAGAAAACATGTAGCCAGAGAATTATATACGAAAAGGTTTGGAAAGTTAAATATTTTTTATCTCTGTAGTTTAGAAGAAAAGATGATAGCTGCCTATGAAAACTCAAAATGGGAACCTGTTAAATGGGAAAATGATATGCACTGTGCTGTTAAGATCCAAGATAAAAATCAGTGGCGAAGAGGCCAGATCATCAGGATGGTTACAGACACATTGGTAGAGGTAAATTGCAGAGTTAAAAGTATAATTGTGAAGGTGAATGCATTTTGTATTTTTTCCCCCAGAGTTAAAACAGTTTTCATTGAGTGTTTCAGTTTGCCAAAAAAATATTTCCAAGTGTTGTTTGTCTGTAGACTTAAAAAGTTATTATTTTCTTAGGTCTTGCTGTATGACGTGGGTGTTGAACTAGTAGTGAATGTTGACTGTTTAAGAAAACTTCAAGAAAATCTAAAGACAATGGGAAGACTCTCTTTGGAATGTTCTCTGGTAGACATAAGGTAGTTTTTAGCTCAGTAATTTTCTCATTATTTTAAATATTATTTTTAGATGGGTTCTTGTAAGTTTTAATTTTGCTAAGATATTCTGGAATTTTCCGAAAATCTAGTTAATTTTTGACTTTAAGAGGGGAAGAGAAAAGTTGGGAGCACATAAATTTAGTGGCATTAAGAAATAGAGATTGGTGAGTGTGAAAGTACCGAGATAGAAATCAAACTGTTGAATATTAAAAATTTTACTTTGAGGAACAACAAACACAGAAATAAATTGTATAAGTTTAAAATTGCATAGAAAGCTAAAAATATGTAAATTACCAAAAAGTCAATTTGTAGAGGATTCTGGGAAAATGACAGAACAGTTTTAGTCTGCTGGAATCCCACTATAAAAACAGCAACTTGGATAGTGAAACAGAAGACTACAGAGTCAATATCTACAGGAAAATCAGATGACAAGTTACTTCTGTGAGCCCTCAAATGTTAGCAGGTGGGGTACACCATGAACCAGGACCTTTACAGTATCAACATTTGCATGGGAGGATTTGGAAGCAAGGCAGACTAGGATTCCAACAGCTCTGAGAATAGGAATCGGCAATGGTATTTCTCTAGTGCATGCAGGCCGATCTGAGAACAGCAGCCAGAACTAATGGATAAGGCAGGACGCAGTTCTTATCTGAATGCAAGAAAGAGGTCTGTAAATGTGCAGACCTTTCTATCCCATGATACTGGAGTCTTTTTAGCCACATAACCTCTTAAAAGTAAACTGAAACTCCTTTCCATGACCCCACACTGAGAAGAAATTGCTGGTAATAGAGTTCAATTTGAGCAAGATAAGCAGTGAAGCAAAGGAAAGAAACAATCTAGATGAAAGGAGGGGAAAGGCCAGGTGAGGTGGCTCACACCTGTAATCCCAGCACTTTGGAACACCAAGGCAGGAAGATCACTTGAGGCCAGAGTTCAAGGCTGCAGTGAGCTATGATTGTGCTACTACATTCCAGCCTGACACAGTGGCTTTTTAACCTGTTTTTTAACCTAAATATAGAATTTTACAGTTATTCCTGCCACATTTCTTCTAATTGGTTTTGAAGCTCAGATACTTGATTTTGTTATTCCATGTCTAGGCTGCCCCGTCTAATGTTGTATTATCTGTAAATTTGAAAGCATACCTCTGTCAGAGTTGTAGTCTACAGTTTATGAGCTAACTCCAACTAAGATGCACTTGGCCTGCAGAATGTTTTTTGAACTTTGACATATTAACTCTTTAAAAAACTAGTAAATTTCACATAAAAATTTGAGTTTCTTTTATTGGCAAAAATTGGATATCTAGCCTCTAAGGTAATAATATTACCAAAAATAACTGGCCTTCCCCCAGAGGTTCAGAACAGTTGTTAACTTTTGTTAAATAAATCCTGGCTGCTATTCACGATAGAATACTAGATAAAATTGTACATATTGGAAACAGCTCTATCATTAAGTCTACTGGCAGATTGTTTGCTATTGCTTTGACACCACAGTTATCCAAATCACTTGGGGTAGCTTGTAGTTCTAGACCAGGGTGTCCAATCTTTTGGTTTCTCTGGGCCACATTAGAAGAAGAATTATTGTCTTGGGCCACACATAAAATACACTGACAGTAATAATAGCTGATGAGCTAAAAAAAAATTGTGAAAAAATGTCATAATGTTTTAAAAAAGTTTATGAATTTGTGTTGGGCTGCATTCAAAGCTGTCCTGGGCCATGTGCAGGCTGGACAAGCTTGTTTTAGATTGTCTCAAATTTGATCACTGACTTGAAGACAGTTGCATGTTATTTGGCTAAAAGACATATACACATACACACACTTAGATATACATATATGTGCAGGCTTTTCAGACATGGATTATAAATAGGAATATTAAAAATCTGTTTACCAATAAAGCCAAAAGATCCCAAAGACCCTTTCAACATTATTATAAAAACTTTAATGAACCTTTAAGAAATTAAAATACTGGTTTATCTAGCTTACTTATATCTTATCTGCAAGGATCTCATGAGAGAACTCTAGATACACTGTACAATATACCTTAACATTTATTGTCTACTAGGATAGGCATTGTATGATGTGCTTTACGTGTGTTAGTTTAGTTCTCACAATAGTACCGACGTGGAACTATTATCATCTCCATATTACAATTGAAGAAACTTCATGATGAGAAATTAAGTACCTTATCCAAAGTTATTTATATAAATCTAGCATTGGTTTATCTGTTTTGAAACCTGATCTTTTTATTTTGTTTGTTTGTTTATGTATTTATTTACTTTTTGAGACAGAGTCTCCCTCTGTTGCCCAGGCTGGAGTGCAGTGGCGTCATCTTCACTCACTGCAACCTCTGTCTCCCAGATTCGAGTGATTCTCCCACCTCAGCCTCCTGAGTAGCTGGAATTACAGGCGTGCGCCACCATGCCTGGCTAATTTTTATAATTTTAGTAGAGATGGGGTTTCACCATGTTGGCCAGGCTGGTCTCAAATTCCTGACCTCAAGTGATCCACCTGCCTCGGCCTCCCAAAGTGCTGGGATTATGACGTGAATCACCATGCCCGACCTAAAAATTGATATTATAATAGGGTAGCTTTTTTTTTTATTTCTTTTATTCCTTAGAGATCCTTGTTCTAATAGGATACCTTCTTCTTAATGACCCGTTTCTGTAATCCTACAGGCACCTCTTCTATTGTCGGTGGTCACTGATGGTGACAATGGGACACTGTAAATCTTTCCAGTGCCCTGGAATGGAAATCTCAGCTCATATACTATATAAATCCTATCTTAGTTTTAACTTTGACATTAAATAGTTCAATCAGAATAATTGAACAGAATTATATCAGTCCCTTAATTGTGCCTAACAATACAGAGAATGTGTTTCTGTACATACTTCAAATGGTATCTTATGGACTGGAATGGAACACCATTGTCATTTTAAAAGCCTAATAATAGCTAACCTTTAAGAACTTCTGGGACCTGCATTAATGGTCTTAAATACACTATTTCACTTAATCCTAACAACAAATCTTAAAGATATAGATACTATTTATAGGTAAGGAAATTGAATCTTCAAGAGGTTAAGCATTTTATTATCCAGATAAAATCATCTGCTGACTGTTGAGTTAGGGTTATAAACAAGGTCTGAACCCAGAAGCGGAACTCTAACCTCTCTGTTTTCCTGTCATTTTAAGAAATCCCTTTAAATAGATTGTTCTTAGGGTGATAAAATAGATATTACACTCAGTTTACCCTTTTACCATTCCTAAGTGTACAGTTCTATGACATTAAGAACATTCACGGCTGGGTGCGGTGGCTCATGGCTGTAAACCCAGCACTTGGGAGGCTGAGGCAGGCGGATCATTTGAGGTCAGGAGTTCAAGACCAGCCTGGCCAACATGATGAAACCTCCTCTCTACTAAAAATATAAAAATTAGCTGGGCGTGGTGATGGGCACCTGTCATCCCAGCTACTCGGGAGGCTGAGGTAGGGAGAATTGTTTGAACCCAGGAGGCAGAAGTTGCAGTGAGCCAAGATTGTGCCACTGTACTCCAGCCTGGGCAACAGACTGTCTCAAAAAAAATAAATAACAAAACAAAAAAAATCACATTGATGTATAGCATTTACCACCATTTCATCTTAAGAACTTCTTCATCTTCCCTAACTGCAATTCTGTATTCATACATTTTTTAAATGTTAAATTATTATTTATATCCATAGTAGATCAATGGACAACCTTGATGTTACATTGATTTATACTAATATACCATCATAATAAATAAACCATAACTGGTTCCAAGAGTTCCTAACAATTTAAGCTTCTTAGCACATAAGAACTCTCCCTGGGCTGTACAATAAGTAGTACAGCGCGTTCACGAAATCCTTTTTGGCCAAGTTCCGTGCCCAGTTGATTTGGTTAGTTCACTCAAATAAGCCATGTTACTGTGAGGAGATTGACCAGGCAAAGCTGAGTGTGGTGGCATACATCTTTAGCCCCAGCTACTCAGGAGACCAAGATGGGAGGATCTGTTGAGCCTATGAGTTTAAGGCCAGCCTGGGCAACATAGTGAGGTCTTGTTTCTTTAAAAAAAATAAAAAAATAAAAAAATTGACCAGAATTAATTGTTTATTCAGTTAATGGGTTAGCTCAATGAAACTCTGGAACTAGAAACCATAGGAGAGCCTGTAGAGCCTGCAGTATGTTATCTGTAATCTCTTCTGTGTTACTAATTCCTTATTCGTGGGGATAGATTTGCTGGTTCGAGACATCTAAGGCAAAAGCTTGTCCAGCCTACAGCCCACGGGCCACACGCAGCCCAGGACAGCTTTGAATGCAGCCCAACACACATTTGTACACTTTCTTAAACAGTATGAAATTTTTTTGATTTTTTTTTTTTTTTTTTTTTTTAACTCATCAGCTATATTAGTGAATTTTATGTGTGGCCCAAAACAATTCTTCCAGTGTGGCCCAGGGAAGCCAAAAGATTGGACACCTCTGCAATCACTCAGTTCCAACTCTGCAGACTAAAATGGATGATGAAATCGGATACTCTGCATTTCATTTATCTGTCAAATATTTTTTGAGCATTTTTTAAAAGTGCATTACTGTCTTGACAGTATTTGCTGAAAGCTTAGGCTATGATGCTGCTAAATTTTGGTCATTTAAAACTATTACCACATGTATCAGATAATGTAAAAAATTTTGTTCAATCAGTAATTAAAATTTCTGGTATTTCTGATATTTATGGGTAGCAATTCAAGTTAGATTTGAAATCTAAAGAACTTCCAGAAATGGGCAGTGGGATCATCATTACAAAGAGACTTTTTTCTTTCTATTAAATATTTCTGGAATGGCTTCTATGTGCCAGGCACTATGCTAGTCATTAGGGAATATGATGATGCACATAATACATCATCACTCCTGTTGTCTTGGAGTTTACAGTCTAGTTGACATGTATGAAATGTATATAATGACTTAAAAAGTATTTAAAATACACCTGTTTTTTACAGGTCCTCAATGTAGCTGCAGAAAAGATACACATAAATAAGTTAACATGTAATATGGGCCCTCAGTAAAATAGAGGGATGAAAAAAGGCTATGAAAATGAGGGGAAAATTGTAAAAATAATGTGAATCCATGTTTAAATTGTTTTTTTACTACATATAGCTGGCTCAAGCTATGAGTGTATATATGTGTAAATATAGTGTTTTTTTGTATATTTCAATATTGTATGCTATTTTTATAAAACAAGTTGCCACTGTTTTCTGTTGTAGACCAGCTGGTGGGAGTGACAAGTGGACAGCAACAGCTTGTGACTGTCTTTCATTGTACCTGACTGGAGCTGTAGCAACTATAATCTTACAGGTGGATAGTGAGGTAACAAGTTACAAGAGATATGTGCTGATGATCTCATTAGTGTTTCCATCAATTCCATTTGTTTTCTTTCTTGTAGAGAAAATAGCAGCCAACTATTTGGATTTTGTTACAAATTTTGTTGCTTTTATTTCAAAGTATAAGAGGCATATATCTTTTCAGACCACTTCAACAATATTCTTTGCTTTCTTTTTTCTAATTTAAATGTTTTATTACGTTAATGAGTAGAATTTTCTTTAATTCATTTTATTTTTACTATTTATGTCCTTTCTCCAGTTTTATACCTTTTTCCGTATGAAGCAGAATATATGTTTTGTAGTTCTTTCGCTTTTTGTAGGAGAAAAAAGGCACACCTTGGAAAATATATTTTGATTCTCTAATTTACAGAGAATACAAGAGAATAAAGAAACTTGTTAACTGATGTTGTATTCCTCACTTCCCAACTCCCCATTCTGTGACTGGAAAAAAGTTTCCAGTTTGATGTTTTTTCTTTAATTTCACCTTGACATTGAGGTCTTCCTGATGCGTTTCACAGAATAACTCTCTGTGCCACTCTCTTCCATGCTGTTTGCTTTTTTTGAGATGGAGTTTCACTCTTGTGGCCCAGGCTGGAGTGCAATGGCGCAATCTCGGCTCACCGCAATCTCCGCCTCCCGGGTTCAGGGGATTCTCCTGCCTCAGCTTCCTGAGTAGCTGAGACTACAGGCATGTGCCACCACGCCTGGGTAATTCCATATTTTCTGTAAAGACGGAGTTTCTTCATGTTGGTCAGGCTGGTCTCAAACTCCCGACCTCAAGTGATCCGCCTGCCTTGGCCTCTCGAAGTGCTGGGATTACAGGCATGAGCCACCGCACTCGGCCCAGTGCTGCTATTTGATGTGTTTGGATATCAAAATTACTCAGTTGGGAATATTTCTTGCTTAAATAAATGTAGAAGAAATGCCTATGAAATGTACATTGTTTATATGAAGATTTCATTTTGGTGTTTCATATTTACTCTGCTCTTAAATCACTGCAGGAAAACAACACAACATGGCCATTACCTGTGAAAATTTTCTGCAGAGATGAAAAAGGAGAGCGTGTCGATGTTTCTAAATATTTGATTAAAAAGGGTTTGGCTTTGAGAGAAAGGAGGTATAGACTTTTTAAAAAAATTTTGACATCAGTTTGTGATGGATGCCTCTGAGTTGCATGTGCAAATCTCCTTACTTGTGCTTTCAAGTCTGAATTGCATCTTGTTTGCTCTTAAGGATTTATAAACTGACCCTGAGGAGCCAACTTAGAAATAGATTCCTTCAGTATTGCTCATTTCATTATTCAGGCACATCAGTTCTTGCACACTTAAGCCCCTTTACTGACATACTTGCTTTTATTATTTCCCCTCTCCTTTGACATTTACACTGTAAACCAAAGAAAAAGAACAATGTAGTGGATACCAGATCTGAGCCCTTTGGTATCCTTTGCTTAAACATAAATGTGTAGGCTTTATTTTAGAAATTCTGGTAGGTATATACCTACTGGATGTATTTGTATGAAATGTAAATGTATTTATATGAAACAGGATGAGTAACAAATAAGTAATTGAACAGTATTTATATTTAAAGATCCTTTCCGGTTCTGTGTTTGGAGTTTAAGCACCTTTGGTCCAGGGACAGGATCAGGATATGGTTGTGACCCTAGCTTAATCTTGTCTCTCTCTTTCTTTCTTTCCTTTTTTTCTTTTTTTGAGACAGAGTCTTGCTCTGTTGCCCAGGCTAGAGTGCAGTGGCGTGATTTCGGCTCACTGCAAGCTCTGCCTCCTGGGTTCACGCCATTCTCCTGCCTCAGCCTCCCAAATAGCTGAGTCTACAGGTGCTCGCCACCACGCCTGGCTGATTTTTTGTATTTTTAGTAGAGACAGGGTTTCACTGTGTTAGCCAGGATGGTCTTGATCTCCTGACCTCGTGATCCGCCCGCCTCAGCCTCCCAAAGTGCTGGGATTACAGGCATGAGCCACCACGCCAAGCCTCTATTCTCTCTCTTTCCAGAGACATAGAGGTATGTTGGAATTGGAGACACAAGTCCCAAGTAGCCACTTTGTACCATACGTGGCCAGATCACCATAGATGTGTTTGCCTTAACTTATATCTTACCTTATTCAGAACAAGGACCCCAGTCCTGATGAAATGGAAAGAGAATTTGAAGTCAGAAAGAAAGTGGGACATGAGGCTAGATATGGGAGATGCGGCCTGGGTTGCCCGGGCTTTGGCATACAACTAATTGCTTTGACTTTAGGCCAAAGCAATTCCTTGATAGAAGAAATGTTAGAATGGAAAATGCTAGGCAAGTTAATACTGCTGACATTGTCTGCTACCAGTTGTTACATTCTTTACTGTTTTTGTAGACTAAAACTACTAGCTATCTTAAGGCGGCGGTGGGTTGGGGGACTGGCAGGGTATTTGAGGAATTATGTGGCTGTTTCGTCAATACTTTGTTTCCCTTTATTGATTGATTGGTTGATTGATTGAGACAGAGTCTCGCTCTATTGCCCAGGCCTAGTGCAGTGCTGTGATGTCAGCTCACTGCAACCTCTGCCTCCTGGGTTCAAGCGATTCTCACACCTCAGCCTCCCAAGTAGCTGGGATTACAGGCATGTGCCACCATGCCCGGCTAATTTTTGTATTTGTAGTAAAGACAGGGTTTCACCATGTTGGCCAGGCTGGTCTCGAACTCCTGACCTCAGGTGGTCTTCCCGCCTCAGCCTCCCAAAGTGCTGGGATTATAGGCGCAAGCCACCATGCCCGGCCTTTATTTCCTTTTAAAAGTACAGGAGATGAGAAGAAATAGAAACTTGCCATAATTCCCCTAAAACACAGTCAAAATTAATATTTCCTTCTAAGGTTTTATTTTTTTTGTACAATAGGGGTACCTATTTTTTTTAATTGGAAGAGAATAATATAAAGTAGAAAAACTGAGTAAATATAGCATATTACCACTAACACCTAATATATGAATAGTACTTTATTGTTTTTTAAGAGACTCATGTTTTCTTTGTATTTATGGATGCTAATAGCTTACCAGATGTCTGTTCTATGTGTGGACTAAATTGATAAATTGAAATCATCTTAAAGGTGTTGTATCTTCTAGTAATATTGAATTCATTGTACAATACTTGAGATATACACACGAAATTTTAAGAGAGCATAGTCTGTAAATATAGAAATTTAAAACATTTACTTAAATTTTTATTGCTTTTTCTCATCAGTCTCATAATTTAAAGTAGTTTTAATTTTAACTTAAGTTATGCTAGTTTTTATGTAACAAATTAGAGCAAATATTTTCTTTCAATTTCATGTATATCTGAAGGATTCTTTTTATGTTGTTTTACCCAGAATTTTATATTTGCTCATGTTTAGATGTGTTCTTTTTTGGATGTTACAGAATTAATAAATTAGATAACAGCCATTCATTATCTGAGAAGTCTCTGGAAGTCCCCCTGGAACAAGAAGATTCAGTAGTTACTAACTGTATTAAAACTAACTTTGACCCTGACAAGAAAACTGCTGACATAATCAGTGAACAGAAAGTATCTGAATTTCAGGAGGAAATTCTAGAACCAAGAACCGCCAGAGGGTATAAACCACCAGCTATTCCTAACATGAAAGTATTTGAGGCAACAGTCAGCTGTGTTGGTGATGATGGAACTATATTTGTGGTACCTAAACTATCAGGTGAGACTTTGTATGTTATGTAGGCTCTAGTTCTCTAAGACCGACAGGGATTGAAATACTGTGGGCAGCCTCTTTGAACGTTATTTTCACAAGGTTGTTAGGAGAACTAAGTGATTTCACACAATGCATGCAAAGTGCTTTTAACACATAAAAATCATTTAGTGCAGTTTTTCATTATTCTAACATAGCAGTGTTGTTTAATTATAATTATGTGAGTGCTATTCTCAGTATAAGAAGAAAGGAATTTGGAATTTTCATTTCCCACTATTATGGCAGATTGAACAACTCTCCCAAATAAGTCAGATCAGATGCCAATTTTTTAAAAATTAACATTTACTGAGTTGGCATGAAAGTAAAGAACATACCAAGCTCCAAAACAAAGTGAAATCACACACTGGGAGGTAAGCATGTGCCAAAGAAGGCAATCACTCTAGAGTTGCTTCATAACTGTAGAACCTTGAGCAACTTTGATAACTACACGAAGTTAAAGAAAAAGGAAATAAAGGTCCAGGCCCTTTTACTCACAGTGGGAAATGTAGTAGGAATTCCTCACATGGAGATGGGATCCCAAAGGATGATGCCCACAATGGGTCAATGTGCTGATCACATTAAAAATGACTAAAAGAGTTCAAATGAATTTTTTAAAGTTACTATAAAATGTTATTAATGTGAAAGAGTATAAAATGTATTATTTAAATAACAACATTAAGATGAGTAGCCATATACATATTGCCCATGATAAGAAGCAGCATCACCAGAACCTAAGCAGACTTGTGTGGCCCCACTTGGTCGTGTCTCCTGTTTTGCCACCCACGATATAGCCACTTTTCTGAATTTGCTAATTATCATTTCCTGTGTGCATCACTAAACAAATTTTTTAGGTTTTCCATCTTTCAAACTTTATGTAACCAGAACCAAAATGTACATATTCTTTTGTGACTTTTCATCAAATTGTTTGAGATTTGTCCACCTTGGTGCATCTCACTATATTTCATTCATTTTTTAATGAATTAATTCCTTTTTTAAATGAATTAACAGCATTTCCATGAATGATTATATCTCAGTATCTGTTCTGTTGATGGACACGTATGTTTGTAGATTTTCTGTGATTACAAAAAATCCTACTGTGAACATTATTGTACCTGTGTCTTGTTACACACAGGCAAAATTTTTCTCGGGCACATAATCTAGTGAACAGAATTGTTGATCATTGGCCTGGCACGGTGGCTCATGTCTGTCATCCCAGCACTTTGGGAGGCCGAGGTGGGTGGATCACGAGGTCAGGAGTTTGAGACCAGCCTGGCCAACATGATGAAACCCCATCTCTACTAAAAATACAAAAATTAGCTGGGCGTGGTGGCACACACCTGTAATCCCAGCTACTCAGGAGGCTGAGGCAGGAGAATCACTTGAACCCGGGAGGCAGAGGTTGCAGTGAGCCCAGATCATGCCACTGCTTTCCAGCCTAGGCAATAGAGTGAGTGAGACTCCATTTAAAAAAAATGGTGGATCATTTCTAGGTAATGTCTTCTCAAAGTTGTTTGTAACAGTTTACGCTCATCATTGCCAGTGCATGAAGAGTCTCATTACCCCACATCCTTGCTAACACTTAGTAAGGTCAGATTAAGTTCTACCAATCCTAGTGGATGTGAAATTGTCTCTCACTATGGCTTTAATAAACATTTCCTTCTTATGGGGTAGACATCATTTCTTGTATTTGAGTCATTTGTATTTCTGTGGTTTTGGAATACCTGTCCATGTCTTCGCTTACTTTCCATTAAGTCATTGCTTTCTGATTCATAGTTCTTAATATATCCTGAATACTTACCCTTCTTGGTTTTTATGTGTTCCAGATATTTTCTCTCAGTTTCTTACTTGTCTTTTCAGTGTCTTTTGGGAGTTTCTGGATGAACAGAAGGTCTTAATGTAATTTTATCAATCTTCTTTGTTTTTTGGTTTTGTATCTCATTTTAAATCCTTTCTTGGGCCAGGCACAGTGGTTCATGCCTATAATCCCAGCACTTTTGAGAGGCCTAGGTGGGTGGATCACAAGGTCAGGAGTTTCAAACCAGCCTGGCCAATATGGTGAAACCCGGTCTCTACTAAAAATACAAAAATTAGCTGGGCGTGGTGGCGGGCACCTGTAGTCCCAGCTGCTCAGGAGGCTGAGGCAGAAGAATCGCTTGAACCCAGGAAGTGGAGGTTGCAGCTGTGAGCCGAGATTCCGCCACTGCACTCCAGCCTGGGTGACAGATCAATAGTCCATCTCAAAAAAAAAAAAAAATCCTTTCTTACTGTGATATCAGAAAGCTATTTCATTATATGATCTTGTAAAAAATGTTTATGGTTTTGGTTTTTACATAATGTATAAGCTATCCTGGAATTGATTTTTTGGTAGATACGAAAAAGAGATCCAGTTTTTTTTAATAGGTTTAGTTAGTAGTCCCAGCTCATCTGCTTAATACTCCACACATTCCCCACTGATCTGCAGTGCCAACTTTGTCAAAGATTAAGATTCCATATGTGTGTGAGTTGTTTCTGAATTTCCTGTTCTGTGTTAATGCTATTTATCCCTACACCAACACCAGTTTTTTCCTGAATATAGCCTATACTACTTTTACTATGTATACAAGTTACTTTGTTGTATATCCTGTAACGCTTGAAATCCACTGGATTTCTTGTTCTTCTTTAGGTGCATCTTGGCTCCTTAAATCGTGTGTTTTCTTCACTATACCCTGTTGTTTCTGTGGGACACACTGTGTGCAGAGTGTTGCAAGGTCACAAAGCAAAGGCAAAGTTAGGCTAGAGATGAGGAAGGGTAACTTTTTTGAGAAACGCTGCAAACCCCATAGCTTTGGAAATATAGATAGATATGGACAGGAAAAAGACACTGGAAGACGTTTTTAGAGTTAGGAGCTTTAGGGAAAGAACTTGTACAGAGGTAGGCATACATAAGACAAAGGGGTTCAGCCTGGCTGGAAGAATAGAAGTAATGAAGTTTGGTAAGAATAAGGGAGTTAGGTATATGATGAAGTAGTTGTGTTTTTAGCATCATGATATATGAGGGCTGCCACTGAGGATTTTACTCTTTCCTCCATGATTTCAGTATTTTTGTGCATCTGTAAACCTTGGGATCCTTGAGAATATAAAAATCCCGGCCGGGCGCGGTGGCTCAAGCCTGTAATCCCAGCACTTTGGGAGGCCGAGACGGGCGGATCACGAGGTCAGGAGATCGAGACCATCCTGGCTAACACAATGAAACCCCGTCTCTACTAAAAATACAAAAACATTAGCCGGGCGTGGTGGCGGCGCCTGTAGTCCCAGCTACTTGGGAGGCTGAGGCAGGAGAATGGCGGGAACCCGGGAGGCGGAGCTTGCAGTGAGCCGAGATCGCGCCACTGCACTCCAGCCTGGGCGACAGAGTGAGACTCTGCCTCAAAAAAAAAAAAAAAAAAAATCCTGGAGCCCCATTTTTGTGTATACCTGAGAGTGGCAATGGCACATGTGGTTGGCAGAATTTAGAACTTAGGCTGCCAGTGATGATATAGACATCCTCAGTACTCTCCCATCATGGAAGAAAAGCAACATGAAACCTGCTTTATAGGCAGCTAAAATGACTGTTGGATCAGGACTAGCATAAATTAACCTGCTTTCCACCACTGTGTCTCCCTTATTTTCCTCACCTTGGGACTAAGATGCTGGAGATGTGGGTAGAGGGTTTCCAGATTTGTAAGACCTGTCACTTAGACAAGTTTGGAGGCTCTCTATGAAAACAGAATGCAGGCTGGGTGCGGTGGCTCACGCCTGTAATCTCAGCACTTTAGGTCAAGGCGGGAAGATTGCCTAAGCCCAGGAGTTCGCGACCAGGCTGGGCAACATGGTGAGACCCCATCACTACAAAACATGCAAAAATGAGTTGGGTATGGTGGTGCATGCCTTGGGTCTCAGCTACTCAGGAAACCGAGGCAGGAGGATTGCTTGAGCCCAGGAGGTCAAGGCTGTAGTGAGCTGCGTTCATGCCACTGAACTCCAGCCCGGGCAGCAGAGTGAGACCTTGTCTCATTTTCTAAAAATAAAATAAATACAGAAGTTTGTATTTCTTGAGAATGAGAAAAGAAATCACAACAAATGACTGGAACTTTAGGAACCTTTGAGAATATTCAGGTCCCTCCTGAGATTTTTAGGCTTATGTGCAAATGCTTCCTGACTATAACCTGGGCCCATCGGAGTAGTTAATAACTATAGCACTCGTAGGGCTTAGTGTCATTAGCTCCTTGTTAGTACCTATGGATAAGGGTATGGTAGCTGTGAATTTACTGAAAATTTTCTCTCATTTGTTGATCTCCTAAATACATTTTTAAATTTGAAAGACAGAATAAAATGGGTACAATTGGCTGTTCTAGAAAAAATAACGTTTGAGACCTGTAGTAATAGTACTTAACCCAGGAACTTTGCTTGACATGTATAAATAGTCATTGTTCAAACTAGTAGCCTGTTATCTGCCAGGCAGTGTGCTGGATGCTTTACATCTAATCTTCCTGCAGTGCTTGATGATGCTGACAGGTACTGTTATTCCCGGAAGATGCTGTTACGCCCAGAATAGGTGGTGTTATTTTGGAAGGATAAACTGAGGCTTATTGGAGGTAAGGGAACTAACCACCCAAGATCACACAACTGAAGCCATAAGATTGGAATGCTGACTGACTCCAGAGCTTGCCTTCTGTGGTATCCGTTATGGATATATGTGGAAATCATGGGCCAATTAGCAATAAAAGCAAAATTGAAATTTTAATTTGTATCCCCATCATTATACTGTATCTGAGCATCAAGTAATATGTAACCTGTGTTCTGTTTTACTTAGGGCTGTCGAACTGACCCTATTTAGAATTGGTAGTACTTCGTATTAGGCTAGCTGGTATGTATTTAGAGCTCCTTATGATGTTTGTGCTCTCAAAATATAAGCAAAGATCATAATATTGTTTGTATGCTATTACTAGTATGTTTTAAAACGCACACAGATTTTTACCAAAGTTCTGTTTTGGAGACTGATTTTTAACTGTACTACTGAAGAGATGAAGTCATTAAATTGACAAATGATAGGGAATTTTCCTTAATGCTTTCTATCCTTAATACTTTTTTTCAGAATTTGAGCTAATCAAAATGACAAAGGAAATTCAAAGTAATTTAAAATGCCTTGGTCTTTTGGAGCCTTATTTCTGGAAAAAAGGAGAAGCATGTGCAGTAAGAGGATCCGATACTCTGTGGTATCGTGGCAAGGTGATGGAGGTTGTAGGTGGCGCTGTCCGAGTGAGTCTCATGTTCTTTCATGACTATTCTAAGGTTAAATGCTGTAGCATTAAATAGTCTTTTGCATTTGAACACAAGAAAATTGGATTAAAACATCTTTTGATGAAAATCATGTAGGAACATCAGTTATGTAATACTTTTGTTTGTAATAATTTTTTGTGTTATTTGCAAATATATTTAGTAACCTGAATAAGCAAAAAATAGGGAGGGATTTGATCATTGGTTAATGGATGGACCACTGAGTTAAAATTGGTAGCCCTGTTTCCACACATAGTGTTAAGTAAAAGAGTGTTTTCCAGTATGTTAAATATCTCACTAGCAAATTTGTTTATGGCCCAGTTAGTTTTTCAGAACAACGACTAATTTACCTTTCCAGAATAATGAGATAACTAACACTCAGGTTTCATTCAAAATCTTCAAAAATAGCTATATCCTTTGAAAGATATGTGTGCGTGTGTGTGTGTGTGTGTGTTGAAAACTTTAGTTTCAATTGGAGTGAGGGGAGGAAAAGCTTAAGTGAAAAAGTGTTTTGTTTCCACCTGGACAGGAGTTTATTTTCTGTTTGATGATGATACCTAATGATTACATAGCACTTCAGGTTTTTTAGCTTCCTTCACCTATATGCATTTGTATTTTATAATTTGTTTACACTTATCCTAGACATAGATTATTATTCCCATTTTACTAAAAAGAAAATTGAAATTTAGGTTCAGTGACCTGCCAGGGTCACTGGGTAGTAATGCTAGAGTTAATATCCAAGCATCTGATTCCTGAACTTCTGATTCTAAGTCTTACGCTTTTTCTGTTGAACTACAAACTTTTAATGGTTTTCATAGAAGTAAAATAGTTTCAAATTTGGGGTGAGTACTTAAACATCTGGATAGTTACAGGGGTTATCCGAGCAACTTGAATGTATGTGCAAAGTGACATACATTCACCTATACGTACATTTGAGTTGCTCACATAACCCCTGACCTTTTTTTCTTTACAAAGGTAAAATGAAATTCAGTATTCATCAAGTTATCATACTTCATGAACTTTACATTTGTAGAATCAAAATAAATAGGATGGTGAACTTTTATAAAAACTCTCCTGCTGTCCAAATATCTGTTTATTTTAACTTACTTAAAAGAACTTTGATAGTTTAATCATCACCTTTTTTTTTTTCATGTGGTCACTTTACATTTTTAGTATGCACAATGGATTTTTCATTTCTTAACCTGGTATCTTTTAAAGTTTATCCTGTAATTCACATTAAGAAATAAACATCTCATGAAATCATACCTTAATTATCTGTGAGGTATTCAGACATTTTTGTTTAATTCTATTTTATTTTTTAATGGTAATTGCCAAGCAAATCCAATTAAACAGTCATATGTTCATTTCGTTATGTTGGGACAGAAGAAATAATTTATTGGCATTCCTTATTCTTAAGACAATTTAGAAATTGAATTATCAAAATTAAAGCATTTCAAAAAGGGATTGTTCTTGAGGAATTTGTAAATCCAATAAAACCCAGTTTTTTTCAAAAAAAGTCTGATGGGTTATGTGTAAGAAAACCTTTTTTACCATGAGGTTTGATACACTATCGGAAGAGGGAGTAAATACAGTATTGCTTTTTTTTCCTGGAAATTTTAAAAATCCATATTTTGAACTTCTCATGATGTCTTTTATTTTTTTTGAAACAAGTTCTTTCTCTGTCACCAGGCTAAGAGTGCAGTGGCACAGTCACAGCTCATTGTAGCCTTGACCTCCCGGGCTTAGGCAATCCTCCCACCTCAGCATCCTGAGTAGCCGGGACTACAGGCCCACACCACCACAGCCAGCTGATTTTGGTATTTTTGGTAGAGATGGGGTCTTGCCGTGTTCCCAAGGCTAGTCTCAAACTCTTGGGCTCAAACAATCCACCTACCTCTGGCTCCCAAAGTGCTGGGATTACAGGCATGAGCCACCAAGCCTGGCCTATCTTTTTACTTTTTTTTTCAAATAACAGGAAATTCCCTTTGTCCCCTAGCTTTTAACAATAAATTTTAACTGTGAATTTTATTTGGCCTGTTTCAGGTACAATATTTAGATCATGGATTCACTGAAAAGATTCCACAGTGCCATCTTTACCCTATTTTGCTGTATCCTGATATACCCCAGTTCTGTATTCCTTGTCAGCTCCATAATACCACACCTGTGAGTACATAATAATTTGTGGGATGATTAATTTTAAATATTAGTTTTTACTAATTTTTTTTAGAAATATTTAGAATGTAAAATGAAATTTCAGTTGTAACAAAAAAGTAATACAACACCAACAAATAAGTTGCTAAGACAGCTAAACAGCCTTTATGAAGACAGTTACAAAATTAAACTGAAGGCTGTAAAACATGTGAATAAATGAAGAGATATGTTCATAAGTGGGAAGGTATAAGATTGCAAAAGTTTATTTTTTTATCAAATGAAATTACAACAAACTTGAAGCTGGAGATCAGATAAAAGAGTGCCTTATTCTGTTTTGCTGCATAACAAATTAAGCTGAGACATAGTGGTCTAAAACAACAATAAACTTTCATTATCTCATACCGTTTCTGTGGTTCAGGGATTAGGAGTGGCTTAGCTGGGTTTTTTTGACAGAGGATCTGTATTAGTCCATTTTCACACTGCTGTAAAGATACTACGTAGCTAAGCCTGGGTAATTTATGAAGAAAAGAGGGTTAATTGACTCACAGTTCTCCGTGGTTGATGAGGCATTAGGAAACTTAGACAGTTGTTGTGGAAGGTGAAGGAGAAGCACATACCTTCTTCACAAGGTTGCAGGAGAAAAAGAGATTGAAGGAGAAACTGCCAAACTCTTTCAAAACCATAGCTCTGTGAGAACTCAGTCAGCATGGGGGAAACTGCCCCATGATCCAGTCCCCTCCCACCAGGTTCCTCTCTCAACACATGGGGATTACAATTCAAGATAAGATTTGGGTGGGGACACAGCCAAACCGTATCATGGTCCCTTCTGATACTGCCATCAAGATGTCCACCATAAGTGTAGTCACCTGAAGGATCAGCTGGGGACAGAGGGTCCACTTGAGACGGTTGACTCACATTGCTTTGGCAGGAAGCCTCACTTCCTTTCCATGTGAACCTCTCAGCGCATAAAAACGTAACAATCACTATTCCTTAATGAATACACACTGCAGGTCTTGTACAAGCACTGCATTGGCATATTGGTCTTTTAAAAAAGTTTTACATGTAATATTTTTAAATGTAGGATGTGTGTGTGTTTTCTCACCTCTGGCTGAACAGGTTTATATTTTTAAAGCATAAAATGAGTACTCAAATTATTCATTTTTAAATGTTTTTATCATGTACCTATGATATTCTCTGAGAACTGCTTGTGTATTTTGTACTACTCTCCGATATTATTTGTTTATGGCTACTTTTGTATATCTTAATTTGCTTCCTGATCTTATTTTATGAAAGCATAAAAGAATCTGAGTTTATTAATCCCAAATAGGTTGGGAATGTCTGGCAACCAGATGCAATAGAAGTTCTTCAACAACTGCTTTCAAAGAGAGAGGTGGACATTCACATCATGGTAATTTAAAGTATATATAGGTGGTATAAATTATTTGCCATAAAATATTATAATTAACATAATTTGAGGGATATTTTTGATAAGCAATGGTATATACCTTCTTATGGTGAATTACTTGTTAGCATAAAAGAAACTACCAGTTTGGTTCCTAGGCTTGCTTTAAATAAGCCTGATTTTGAACAAGTTCCTGAGAACGTTCATAACCATTAGTCACTAATATGAAAGATTCTTTGTTAACAGCTTGTTTTGTTACAGGGAGCAGTATTAAATTGTTGGACATGTTTATATGTAGCAGTTTCCAAGATGGTACTGAACACTCAGCACTGTCTTAGGTACAGGCAATTCAGGGAGTCTATCATGATCTGTGTCCCCAAAGCACCTATCTGGTTAGTGAAACAAGACAAAAACCTAGAACATTTGCACTACAAAGTAACATGCCAAGAGCCAAGTGATTGGTAAAAAAAAAAAAAAAATTGGTAAATGTAATAGGAATTTAGAGATTGTGAGAATTGAGGTAGCCCTTAAAGATAGTAATGTTCTCCTGACTGGGGAAATGAAATGCACAAAGGTACAGAGAGACGTTTTAGGGAAAGGGTATAACTGTTTGACTTGAATAGTGGAGGTTTTGTGAGGAGTAGTGGTAGTGAATAGCATTCAGGAGAGGTAGGGGCCAGTTGGCGAGGTTGGTAGGAACAGCCTCAGTGGAGGTTTCTAAGCAGTGAGGTAATGAGATCAACCTGCAGCTGCTATGTTTGCAGGACCCGAGTGGGAAGATATATGGTAAGGAAAGTATTTCTGTATTAAAGGATGATGATAGAGTGATAAAAACCTAAAGGAGGCACAGACTCACTTAAATAAGAAAGTAGCTTTTGTTAGTACTGAGAGTCCCTCCCTGGTTACTTAGTCTCCATGGCAAGTCGCTGAAATATGGTAGAGATTGAAATTTTTAGTTTGTCTAGACAGCTTTCATTGCTGTTTCACTTGACACAGAAGAACAGCTTGTGGTATAGCAAAGGCTGCCAGGTGTCTCAGAGACCATGAATGTGCATTCTACACAACCCAACTGACAGCAGGCCTTGCCCAGACTCACTCCTCTCACTTGTACACAAAGGGAGATGCTGACCTAGGGCCTCTTAGGTGCTAGCCTCTGCTGTAGGTCTGGACACACAGCTTGGGGGGCTCAGCAGTAAGAAATCTGTGCCTTTCTAAAGCTTCCATTTCAGTGGTGGGAAAGAGAAAATAAACTATGAGGAATATTAGATAGTGATGGGTGCTAAGAGAAGAAAACAAAGCAGGAAAGGCTGATAGGAATGGCATGGCTAGGGAGGAGGTTCCACTTTAAACATGCATCTGGGAAGATGTCACTGCAAAGGTAACATTTGAGTCAAGACCCTAAAATGGTTAGAGGACAGACCACATGGGTGCTGGGAGAAGAGTGCTGAGGCAGGAGCAGGGCTAGGCAGGAGGGGACTGCATTGGCAGAAGACTGAATGGTAAGAAGAGAGAGGACAAGATCTGCTGGGAGGCAGCAACCGTAATTCAGTGAGGAGCAGTAAAACAGTGAGGAGCAGTGAGTTTGGACAAAGGTGGTATCAGTGGAAATGAAGAGAATTGCTGTGGGTCAGCTTATCAGTTAGGGACACATTCAGTACCCAGTAGACTGTTCCGAGTCCCGCCAATTTTGGATTTTTAAATGAAACTTTATTTCTCCACCTCTGAACGTAACCTTTTCTTTCTGTTTCTACGTAGTGTAATTTGTTAGTATCATCTAAAGGCGATGTATTTGGGAATTGGAATTATATATAACTTAGTTATTTTGTGGTGAATAACTAGAAAACTCTATGGACTTGTAAGTGTATGTCACATAAACCAAAGTAGTAGAATTACTCCCTTATAGCATGTCAAAATACCAGGAAGAAAATTCTATGAAATGAGTCACTAGCCAAACTGTCTAGTTAATACTGTTATATAGTCAGAAGCTAAATTTAATATTTGCTGACTATAAAAATGTCATCAAATGGAGTTTATTTTTATAATAATAACCTTTATTGAACTTTAAATAGGAATTACCTAAAAATCCGTGGGAGAAATTGTCTATTCACCTCTATTTTGATGGAATGTCACTTTCTTATTTTATGGCATACTATAAATACTGTACTTCTGAACATACTGAGGAGATGTTGAAAGAAGTAAGTGAACTATTTTTCTATAAAAATCTAAAGTGTAGAACAGACTAGTTAAAATGTCACGTTTTGTCTTACACTATGTCTTAAATATGATTCTACATGTCTGATCTATTAAGAGAGTCTAGAGGACTTACACATTTTTGCTGAGAAAGATAAATAGACTGTGTCATGCGTTGTAAGTGTCCTGTAAAAGACTTTAATTACATTAAGATTCAATCAGTGTTCCTGTACCTTCAAACCTAGTGTGATGCCCATGCTATTCAGTGTTGTTTGAATGTAGGGATGCACATTCTAAAATCTTTATAGAATTCAATACCAGAAGAGGGCTCTTGCTCCAGGTAAAATATTTTTTCCTTTTACTTGACATAAAAGCCATGTATTACAAAATTTCTCTCATTTGCCTTCTCACAGGAAACCCAGAGCCACATTTTGAACTTAGCTTCCATAACTGGCTCATTCCTTGCCTGGTGCTTCGTGGTTTAGTACTTTAAAAAATATAGCCTGTTACAAGATACGGTTTCACATTTCAAGCTGCTATAAATCTTTTATAGGAATAGATTATGCATCATTATATTTTATAGCACAAGATATTTTTATTTCTAGAGTTGCAGTCTACTTGTTAGACTTTTTAATATTCATTTTGGTGATAGTACACAACCAAACATTGTTCCATGGATAAAGAATACTACTTTCTTCTCTCAAATAGAAATTGTACTATAACTTTGTACCTGTAATCCTCACTGCCAGCTTTTTCTTTAAAGCAGAGGTGTGGTTGTGGGTGAGTTGGAGGGGTGTGTGTGTGTGTGTGTGTGTGTGTGTGTGTGTAAAAGAGGTTCCGTCTGTTATTAAACAAGTTTTATAAAGATTACTTAGTCTTTCTGTTCTAGTTGTACTATTCACTGTGAATATTTTAAAGGGAAAGGTAAGAGCTCCCACTCTTACAATAAATGAATTAGCATTGTTATACATGTGTTAACATACATTTGAGGTTTCTGATTGTTGAAAACTTAAGATGGTGAGATTATTCAGAAGATTAGATTTTTCCTGTAATTGATCTGAAATTAACAATACTAACAAGGAAATGCACCCAGTTTTTGTGGGGATGAAATATGGAAAGAACCTTAAAACAATATAGCTAAAGGTGATTTTACTCAATACTATATTATTTCAGAAACCAAGATCAGATCATGATAAAAAGTATGAAGAGGAACAGTGGGAAATAAGGTTTGAGGTAAGTAACAATCCAAGTATTTTGGAAACTTTGGACACTTCATTAATACAAAGGCTCTGATACAGGACAGAAAGAGCTTTCTTTGGCCGGGCGCCGTGGCTCAAGCCTGTAATCCCAGCACTTTGGGAGGCCGAGACGGGCGGATCACGAGGTCAGGAGATCGAGACCATCCTGGTTAACACGGTGAAACCCCGTCTCTACTAAAAAAAATACAAAAAACTAGCCGGGCGAGGTGGCGGGCGCCTGTAGTCCCAGCTACTCGGGAGGCTGAGGCAGGAGAATGGCGAGAACCCGGGAGGCGGAGCTTGCAGTGAGCTGAGATCCGGCCACTGCACTCCAGCCTGGGCCACAGAGCGAGACTCCGTCTCAAAAAAAATATATGGGTAACTCTATATAAAACTGTATAACAGTTTTATTGAAATATTATTGATATATCATAGAATTTACCTATTGAATGTACAGTTCAGTGGTGTTCAATATTGTTCACTGTCTTGTAACCATCACCACTATCTATTTCCAGAACATTTTATCACCCCCAAAAGAAGCCCTGTACCAGCTGCAGTCAGTCTGCATTCTTCCTTCCCTAACTTCATGACTTCTGTCCCTATGGATTTGCTTATCCTGTACATTTCATATAAATGGAATCGTATACTATGTGGTCCTTTGTCACTGACTTTTCACTTAGCACAGCGTTTTCAAGGTTCATCCATGTTGTGTGTAACAGTGCTTCACTCCTTTACTGCTGAATCACATTCCACTGTGTGGATATGTTGTGTTTGCCTTTCATCTGTGGGTGGACACATGGGCTGTTTCCACCTTGTGGTGATCGTGAATAATGCTGCTGTCTGATCAGGTACAAGTTTTTATGCAGGCATTTGTTTTCCCTTCTTTAGGGTATACACCTAGTAGTGGAATTACTGAGTCTATGGTAACTGTGTTTAACATTCTAAAGATCTCCAAGACTGTTTTCCAAAGTGGCAGCATCATTTTACATGCATGCCAGTAGGGTGTGTGCAAGGACCCCGTTTTTTCCACTTCCTCACCAGATTACTACTTGTAATCTGTTTTTCTAGCCATTTTAGGATAGGCGTGAAGTGGCATATCATTGTAGACTTGATACACTTGTCCTGGTGATTAGTATCGTTGAGCATCTTTTCATGTACTTATTGGCCATTTTTATATATATATATATTTTTTTTTTTTTGACAAATCCCTTCAAATCAGTTCCCCATTTTTATTTGGGTTATTTATCTTTTTATTGTTGAGCTATAACAGTTCTTTATAATTATGCATGCAAGTACCTTATCAAACATATGATTGCAAATATTTTCTTTTATTCTGTGGGTTGTCTTTTCACATTAATGGATTTGAGAGTCTTGCTCCATTGCCCAGGCTGGTCTTGAACTCCGGGCCTCAAGCAGCCCTCCTGCCTTTTTGCAGAGTAGCTGAAACTAAAGGCATGGACCCCCACACCCAGCTTTCTTTTCACTTTTTTGATAGTGTCCTTTTAAGTACCAAAGTTTTTTATTTTGATGAAATCCAGTTTATCTGTTTGTTTTCTTTTGTCACTTGGACTTTTTTGTGCAGGAAGAGTTTACTTAAGTAAACCTTTGTAATTTATGAAAATAACATAACCTTATTGTAAATTGCCTATTACTTACTTAAAAAGTTCAACAAATTTCAACAGTGGCTGATCACTTTTTGCTGAATTTTCCTAGGTTCAAACTTTGTTTTGTTTTGTCTACCAGTTTGAAAACATTAAATAGTAATAAATTAACCTACAAATTTGAATATGATGGTTTTACTTAAGATAATTACCTTATTCTTGAAGAATGATAACTTTTTATAAAGATACTGCACCAGGCATGGTGGCTGACACCTATAATCCCAGCACTTTGGGAGGCTGAGGTGGGCGGATCACAAGGTCAAGAGATCAAGACCATCCTGGCTAACACGGAAAACCCTGTCTCTACTAAAAAAAAAAAAAAGCCGGGCGTGGTGGCGGCACCTGTAGTCCCAGCTACTCAGGAGGCTGAGGCAGGAGAATGGCGTGAACCCAGGAGGCAGAGCTTGCAGTAAGCCGAGATTGCGCCACTGCACTCCGGCCTGGGCGACAGAGCGAGATTCAGTCTCAATAAATAAATAAATAAATAAATAAAGATATTCCTTGTATTTGCAGAAAAACATGCACATTTTTATATACATTTGCTTTTAACAGTTACTAGGTGCCATGATTTTCTTGGGAATCACATAACTGTAGTATTCCTTATGCTTTCATAGGGCTTAAGAGAAAGCACACTGTTTTTGATGATTTTAACTTAAAATTTTCTTTTAGCATTTCATGTATTATTTTAGTTTTTATTAGAAAGTACTTAAATACTGCAAAAATGTATAAAAGGAAAAGGGATCTTTTCCTCATTCTGCACCTCAAACACCGCAGCCCTCATTAGTAGCAGTTACTATTGACTATTCTTCTAGAATTGTATGTGTATGTGTAGATAATATGCATATCAATAAACATACATGCATTTTTTTGCACAAAATGCTTTAAAATTAGAGGACAAAAGAATACTAAAGATCTTTGTCATCACATTTTGGTCCTACTGTAACAGAATCATTTTGTGGTATTCAGTATTTAAGAAAGCTTACTTTCTGCTAATTGAAAACTAAATTGCCACCATCATGAATTTTTATAATGTAATAGATTTTCGTCCTCATTCTGAAATTGGAATTTTTCTGTGTTGTTTTAGGAATTGCTTTCGTCTGAAACAGACACTCCTCTTTTACCACCATATTTGTCTTCATCTCTGCCTTCCCCAGGAGAACTCTGTGCTGTTCAAGTCAAGCACGTTGTCTCACCTAATGAAGTATGTGATCTAAATGATTAGTTGGTGATTAAAAACATAACAATCTATCTTGGTCTTAAACACTAGAAGCGACTCTTCACTTCTCTATCTTCCTGATTTCAAATGTTGCAAATTCGTGATCTCTAGTTTGCCCCACCCTATAATACCCTCTTCAGATATTTGTTAATATTTAAGGCAAGTGTTTTTTAAAGGACCTACTGGGTTCCCAGTGTTATGCTGCTTTATTCAATGTTATGCTTATATCCGATATTTAGATTTTTAAGGTGGAACCGTTTCTACCTATGAAATCTGAAACATCTTGCTTTCCTTCCTCTTCCCGCATTGAACTCTTCCACTTAACCACCTGGCTGACACTGTGTCCCACTTAACTAGGTTGGTCTGCCTCCCCTTAGGGTATTGCTCCATGTTGTTCATTGAGGTATCCCCAGAACCTAGAGTAGTGCCTGGTAAATACTAGGCACCTGGTGAATATTGATTGAATGATGAATAAAGGCACTGAAAGTTCAATTACATGTCCTTGGCTAACAAAGAGAGGAAGAAATAAGTAGCTTCAGCAGCTCCTTCATAGGCCATTCTCTCACAGGCAGGGGAAGGATTTGCTTTCTAATTTCATCAGAGAGCAGAGTAAGTAGCATGTTATGCTGTATGTAGTTGCTAAACAACTATTGCTGGTTTTGGTAATTTTGCTTATTTATTGCTGCATCACAATTTACCCCTAAAGTTAGCAGCTTAATACAAACACACATGAGGGTCAGGAATCTGGGAGATGCTGAGTTAAGCACTCTAGCTCAGGCTCTCAAGAGGTTGCAGCCATGATGTTGACAGGGGCTGCAGAAACCACTTTCGAAAAGACTCACTCACATGGCACCACCTGGAAGGCTCTGTTCCCTGCCTGTGGCCTCTCCGATTGCCTGCTTGCAGCATGGCTATGGCATCCTGGCACATGAAATCCCTGGGACAGCTCTACCAAGGCAGAAGCTACATGTCCTATACGCCAGTCTCAGGAGTGACACACTGTCATTGTAGTTGTGTGGTTTTTTTGTTTGTTTGTTTTGAGATAGAGGACACGTTTTGTCATGCAGGCTGGAGAGTGCAGTGACATAAACATAGCTCACTGAAGCCTTAATTTCCCAGGCTCAAGCATTCCTCCTGCCTCGGGCTCCCGAGCAGCTGGGACTACAGGTGTGTACTACCATGCCCAGCTAATTATTATTATTACTATTATTATTATTAAACGGAGTCTTGCTTTGTCTCCCAGGCTGGAGTGCAGTGGTGCGATCTCAGTTCACTGCAAGCTCCACCTCCTGGGTTCATGCCATTCTCCCGCCTCAGCCTCCAGAGTATCGAGACTACAGGCGGCCGCCACCATGTGCGGCTAATTTTTGTTTTGCATTTTTAGTGGAGACGAGGTTTCACCATGTTAGCCAGGATGGTCTCGATCTCCTGACCTCGTGATTCAGCCCACCTTGGCCTCCCAAAGTGCTGGGATTACAGGCGTGAACCACCGCGCCTGGCCTAATGTTTTTGATTCTTAGTAGAGATGCGGTCTCACTGTGTTACTCAGGCTGGTCTTGAACTCATGAGCTCAAGTGATCCTCCCACCTCAGCCTTCCAAAGTGCTGGGATTATAGGCATGAACCTCCATGCCCAGCCTAATCGTGTTCTCTTGATCACAAGATAAGTGTGGTAGGATGTGGGAAGGAATAGGAGGTGAATATCAGGAGGTGTAGAGGTCTCTGGGGGCATCGCTGGAGGCTGTCTGCCACAGTAATTTTGTCCACATAAATGCTTGAAATTCCAGAATCTGAAAGTTTTCCTTTCCTTCTCCCCACTTAGGTGTATATTTGCCTTGATTCTATAGAAACTTGTAACCACTCTAACCAGCATAGTGACACAGATGATAGTGGAGTCAGCGGGGAATCGGAATCCGAGAGCCTTGATGAAGCACTGCAGAGGGTTAATAAGAAGGTAGAGGCACTTCCTCCTCTGACGGATTTTAGAACAGGTATACTTACTACATTTGAATGAAACAGGATACTTAATAAAACTTGGATTTTGTTTTAATGGGCTGATGACCTTGGGCTATCTCTAATGTTGATATTTTTCTTGTATTTACTTTATATGCATGATTTCCTGAAATCCTCAAGATACCCAGAAGATGACCTCTTCTCATTTTCGAGATAAGGAACTGTGAACTAAGAGACATTTAGTAAACTCCCTTGGGGGGCACGGTCACGTTCCACAAATGAGACGGTGTTGGAAAAGTGCATAAAGATTATTTTCTGAGTTTGAGGTTGTCAGTAGCTGAAGTTGCAAGAGTTGTCATTCAGACCTTAATGGTCATCATTTTAATTACAAGCCACCTACAATAATCGTGAGGTAGAGGCTCAAAGTATGACCTGTTCTGTCAGGATAGGTCAAATTTCTACTCTTTCATCTTTTCAGTCCATTCTTCCCATCTTTATTAAATATGTGTGATTCTCCTCTGAGGAAAATGTATCTAGTTATTGCAGTATGTGATAGAGATGTATTCTTGATATTTTAGCAAAGGAAAAACACATCATCTTAATGTCTTACCACTATTCAGTGAGTTTTTTGTTTGTTTGTTTTTTGAGACAGAGTCTTGTTTTGTTGCCCAAGCTGGAGTGCAGTGACGTGATCTCGGCTCACTGCAACCTCCTGCTCCCGGGTTCAAGCGATTCTCCTGCCTCAGCCTCCCAAGTAGTAGGGATTACAGGTGCGTGCCACCATGCCCAGCCAATTTTTGTATTTTTAGTAGAGATGGGATTTCCCCATGTTAACCAGGCTGGTGTCAAGCTCCTGAACTCAAGTGAACTGCCCACGTTGGCCTCCCAAAATGGTGGGATTATAGGCATGAGCCAACGTGCCCAGACTTTTTTTTAAAAAAGATGAGTCTTACTCTGTCACCCAGGCTGGAGTGCAGTGGTGCAATCTCGGCTCACTGCAACCTCCGCCTCCTGGGCTCAAGCAATTCTCCTACCTCAGCCTCCTGAGTAGCTAGGATTACAGACATGTACCACCATGCCCAGCTAATTTTTGTATTTTTCGTAGAGATGGGGTTTCACCATCTTGGCCTGTCTGGTCTTGAATTCCTGACTTTGTGATCCGCCTGCCTCGGCCTCCCAAAGTGCTGGGATTACAGGCGTGAACCACTGCGCCCGGCCCAGATGAGATTCTTTATTGTTTCACTGATGACTTTTTTTTTTTTTTTTTTGAGACAGTTTTACTCTTGTTGCCCAGGCTGGAGTGCAGTGGCTCAGTGTCGGCTCACTGCAACTTCTGCCTCCCATGTTCAGCAATTCCCCTGCCTCAGCCTCCCAAGTAGCTGGGATTATAGGCACGCACCACCTCGCCTGGCTAATTTTGTATTTTTAGTAGAGATGGGGTTTCTCCATGTTGGTCAGACTGGTCTCGAACTCCTGACCTCTGGTTATCTGCCCACCTCGGCTTCCCAAAGTGCTGGGATTACAGGCATGAGCCTCCGTTCCTGGCCCTGATGAATTTATATATGAAAGAAATTGTCTGTAACTCTTTAATTAAAATCACTTGAAATAAAAATCTTTATTCATTAGTCATGTATTTCAATGTCACTTGCCCACAAGTAGAATTCTCTGTGAAATTACGTAAAAAGCGTATGACATAAGGAAGTAGAAGATAGGAAACTGAGGCACATGCCATCACTATGAAATCTAAGGATGTACAAAGGGAAGTGTATACCGTACTAATTTTTCCACAGTTTAACTCAAGCCTAGCACTCATTAGTACACCTTTTTTTTTTTTTTTTTACTGAGCTTGTGTCAGGTACCATGTTAGGAATACAAACAACAGTTCTGCACTCAAGAACAAGTGCTCTAAGCAGAGAAGAGACAGATAAACCAAGTAGAGTATGAAAAGAATAGCTTCTCTTAAAGGAGTGTGTGTAATGCTGTAGAATCAGGGAAAGCAGTGATCAGTTGTTAGGGCTTTGTTGGTCATGTTGGAGCTGGGCTTTGAAAGAAGAATGATAACTGCTCAAGGCAATGAATACCCTACAAACTGTCAGAATGTTTTCTTGATGTTTATGATAAACATCATAAAAAAGAAGGGCTCAGGAAAACACTCTAGATGAGGGGGACAGTCATAAGCTAAATAGAGGGATCAAAATTTTAAGTAATCCTGTTTAGGTAACTCATTGAGGAAATGTGGTAGAAGTTGTTTGGGAGAACAAACAACTGAAGACGCCTGTAAATTGTAATAAGGACTTGATATTACAGGCAGTTAAGGTGTACCATTAAAGAATTTTAAATAAGAGCAATGTAATTGCATTTTAAAAAATTTAATTCTGGTGGTCCCATAGCAAATGAATGGGAGGACAGAATGGAAGGCAGGAACAGCAAATAGTTATCATCCTTTGCCAAAGATGATGGCCCACACTAAAAGAGACTAGGGGAGTATCAGAAGTTGGGGCAGTGGCAATATGAGCTAATAAGCCTTACGAACACAAGAACTAGCAACTCAGAATGGGAGAAGTGCCTTTATTTGAAGCTTAATCGTTAGGAATTAGTGAACAAAGGCTTATAAAATACGAACAGAAAAAGAGAAGCCAACATAAGGCCAACTGTTTAATGTTTAATTCTGGATGGTGAGCATATATTTGTTACATTTTCTTCTTTGTACTTTTCTGTATTAAACATTTTTGATACATAATTGTATATATTTATGGGGTACATGTGATATTACATGCATAGAGTGCGTAATTGTCAAGACAGTAGGGTATTCATCACCTCGAGCAGTTACTTCTATGTGTTGGGAACATTTCAAGACTTCTGGTTAATCTGAAATATACAATCCATTGTTGTGAACTAGGTACCTTACTCTGCTATCAAATATTGGGACTTACTCCTTCCAACTCTATGTTTGTACTTATCAACCAACCTTCTTCATCCCCCAACCCCAAACACATGTATATTTGCCTTTCATGGCCTCATGTAACCATTAATCTACTTGTTATCTTCATGAGATGCACTTTTTTAGCTCTCATATGAGTGAGAACATGTGATACTTGTCTTTCTGTGCTTGTCTTATCTTAGTTAATATGATCCATCCATGTTACTGCAAATAACAGGATTCCATTCCTTTTTATGGCTGAAGAGTATTCCATTGTGTATATAATCAGCACATCTTCTTTATCCATTCATCTGTTGATGGACACCTGGGTTGATTCCATATCTTGGCTATTGTGAATAGTGCTGCAACAAACATGGGGTGCAGGTAGCCCTTTGATATGCTGATTTCCTTTGGATTAAAAATATTTAATAAAAGACAATATGACTTTTTCCCTTTTTCTGTCTTTCCAGAAATGCCTTGCCTTGCAGAATATGATGATGGCTTATGGTATAGAGCGAAGATTGTTTCCATTAAAGAATTTAATCCTTTATCTATCCTAGTACAATTTGTTGATTATGGATCAACTGCAAAGCTGACATTAAACAGGTTAAAAATAAATGTTGGGGTGTTGAATTAGGTTTCTTTTTTTTTAAAGTAGTTTTCTTATTGAGAATATTTTGCCTCTTAAAAGAAAAGGGTTATTCTAAGGCTGTTTATAAATTAGGAATTTTTATCGAGTTAAAGTATACATAAAATTTACCATTTTAGCTTTTTTTTTTCTGAGATGGAGTCTTGCTCTGTCGTCCAGGCTGGAGTGCAGTGACGCAATCTCGGCTCCCTGCAACCTCCGCCTCCCAGGTTCAAGCGATTCTCCTGCCTCAGCCTCCCTAGTAGCTGGAATTACAGGTGCCTGCCACCATCCCAGCTGATGTTTTTATATTTTTAATAGAGACGGGGTTTCGCCATGTTGGCCAGGCTGGTCTCAAACTCCTGACCTCAGGTCATCCCCCCGCCTCGGCCTCCCTAAGTGCTGGGCTTACAGGTGTAAGCCACCACACCTGGCCCATTTTAGCTATTTTTAAGTATAATAACTGGCATTAAATACATTCACAAGGTTATACAACTGTCACCACTTTCCATTTCCAGAACAATTTTGTTATTCCAAACAGAAACCCTGTACCTATTAAATAATAAGATCATAGTCCATTCTTACCTAGTCCCTAGTAACCCATGGTCTCCTGTCTCTGAACTTGCCTGTTCTTGGTACCTCATATAAGTAAATTCATACAGCATTTGTCCTTTTGTGTTGGCTTATTTCAATAGCATAATTTTTAAAGATTCATCCATGTTGTAGCATGTGTCAGAATTTACTTAAGGCTGAATAATATTCCATTATATATATGAGGGGTCTTCAAAAAGTTCATGGAAAATGCATACTATGAAAAAACTGGATGGATTTCAAAAATTTTTCACCAAAATTGTGCTAACTTGTTCTAACATGTCTGAACAGGATCTTGTTTGAGGCACTAAAAAGGATAAGTGCAACATGAATTCTGCTCATATTGAAACAACAACAAACATCAAATTTATGGTGAAGCTTGGGTGGAGGAATGGTGATACCATTTTTGCTTTATAAAAACTTTATGGAAACAGTGCCCCAAAGAAAGCAGTTTACAAATGGATAACTTGTTTTATGAAGGGATAAGATGATGTTGAAGATGAAGCCCATAGCAGTAGTCCTTCCACATCAATTTGTGAGGAAAAAAAAATTAATCTTGTTCATGCCCTAATTGAAGAGGACTGACAACAGCAGAAATAATAGCCAACACCAAAGGCGTTTCAGTTGGTTCAGCGTATACAACACTGACTGAAGGAGTTGAGGAAACTCTCCAGTCAGTGGGTGCCAAACCTGTTGGACCCAGATCAGCTGCAGAGAGGAGCAGAGCTTTCAGTGGAAACTGTAGACAAGCAGGATGAGGACCCTGAAGCATTTCTTCAAAGAACTGCAATTGCAGATGAAACGTGACTTTACCAGTGTGATCCTGAAGGCAGGGCACAGTGAAAACAAGAGGCGGAAGTGGTCCGGTCAAAAATGGACCGGTCAAGAGCAAAGGTCATGGCAACCATTTGTTTGTTCTTTTTTGGATGCCGAAGGCATTTTGCTTGCCGGCTTTCTGGAAAGGCAAAGAATGACAACATCTTCTTAGGAGTGTTGGAGAAAGTTGGCCAAAGCTTTAGCAGGAAAACGCCTGGGAAAGCTTCACCAGAGAGTCCTTCACCACCACCGTGCTCCTGCTCATTCCTCTCATCAAACAAGGGCGATTTTGCAAGAGTTTTACCTAAATCATTAGGCATCCACTTTACAGTCCTGATGTGGCCCTTTCTAGATTGTTTTTTGTTTCCTAATCTTAAAAAGTATTTAAAGGGCACCCATTTTTCTCCAGTTAATAATGTAAGAAAGATCATATTGACATGGTTATATTCCCAGGACCCTCAGTTCTTAAGGGATGGACTAAAGGGCTGTTATCATAGCTTACAAATGTGTCATGGTCTTGATGGAACTTATGTTGAGAAATAAAGTTTACATTTTTTATTTTCATCTTAATTTCATCTTTCCATGAACTTTTTGAAGCCCCCTCATACAGTGTGTACTACATCTTATTTACCCCTTCCCTGGAAGGTGGAACTTGGGTTGCTCCCCACTTTTGGCTCTTGTGGATAATGCTTCTATGAACGTGGGTGTACATTTATCTCTTTGAGTACCTTCTTTCAGTTATTTTGGGTATATACCCAGAAATGGAACTGCTGGATCATATGGTCTATCCTAATTTTTGAGGAACCTCCATGCTGTTTCCCACAGTGGCTGCACCATTTTACATTCTCACTAGGAGCGCAAAGGTTCCAGTTCCTGCACATCCTCACCAGCACTTGTGGTTTTGTTGTTTTATAGTAGTCATCTAGTAGGTGTGAGGTGGAATCTCACTTTGGATTTGATTTGCATTTCCCTTATGATTAGTGATGTTGAACATCCTGTCATGTGCTCGTTGGTCATTTGTAGATCTTTAATGTCCATGTTTATGTATATTTTCTCCCATTCTGTAGGTTGCCTTTTTGCTCTGTTGTATCCTTTGATACACAGAAGTTTATTTTTTTAGGAAGTCCATTTTATCTGATTTTTCTCATTTCCTGTGCTTTTGGGGTCGTATCCAAAAAAATCACTGCAAAATCCAATGTTACAAAGCTTTTCCCTTATGCTTTCTTCTAAGAATTGTATAGTTTCAGCTGGAAGAGAATTTTAATTTAAGAATTTCTTTTGTGACAGACTGTGCCAAATTCCTCCTCATCTTATGCGGTATCCAGCTCGAGCCATAAAGGTTCTCTTGGCAGGGTTTAAACCTCCCTTAAGGGATCTAGGGGAGACAAGAATACCATATTGTCCCAAATGGAGTATGGAGGCACTGTGGGCTATGATAGACTGTCTTCAAGGAAAACAACTTTATGCTGTGTCCATGGTAAGTGTCTCAACTAGCCACAATTATTGTAAAGCTATTTCTGTGTCCACACTTTGTCAAGTGTTTGTTTCTATGCAATGTCTACATGCAAGAGTATACTAAAGCATATAAAGCTATATAGGATATAGTTTATATGTATAGCTTTATATATACATATAAAGCTTAATTTTAAGGCTTGTTAAAATGTCTTAGTTTATGTTTAACAAACTGCTTACCCCTATGGTGATATAAAATATCATTTATGTAATTAATAAAATGCTCAAGATGACTATCCCATAATTAATTTATAATAGGGAAACAAATATGCAAACAATTAGTGTGAGGTTGAATGAAATAAGTACTATAACAGAGCTATAGCTAACTTTGTGGGTGGGGGAAGTGTGAGAAGAAATGATTATTTGCATCTGGAGAGGTCAGGAGAGGGTGTTTGAGCTGCTGCTTAGAAGCCACTCAAGTATTTAACTGAATAAGTAAAACAGGAACGTGGCATTTCACCTGCATCCTAAAAGAAGCGTGGGAAAGAATGGTAGTTTTGGTCATTATAGAAAGGCTTGAATTATACTAATTGTACTAGTCTCATAATTATACTACTTTTGAATTATTTGATATAGTAGAACCTGCATCAAAAGGTCAACTAAAAAACTCCAGACTGTGTTTCATGTAAATGTTTTCTTGTTCTGAGGCTCAGCATGTCACAGTAGCCCACAGACAGAATCTGGCCTGTACCTTGTTTTATTTAGCATAGGGTTTTAAAATTGGAAATCTTACCCAAGAAGTCTGTATTTCTGGCCCTGATTAGATATTCTAAAAACTAGGAATCCTGGGTCTCCCCATCCCCCTTAAATGGCAGTCAGCTGAAAGCATAGCAGCAGCCCCTTAGATGGGAACGTGTGACGTGACATTCAGTTCACCTAGTCCTCACTGCTGGTGCAGCTCCGCCTGCTTCCCTCCTTTGTGATGCCTGCCTGGGGCCACGATTTGGGGATTCCTGACACACTGGCTGTGACACAGATGAGCTCATCATCAGTCAGCGTGGTTCCTGGAAAGTGCTTTTTGAAAATCCCTGTATATATGCTATTGCATGTGCAGAGTGGTATGACCAGCTCATCCAGGCTTTCTCTCAACCTAGTGAAAATACAGACAGGGCAAGTATTTCTTATAGATACGTCTTTTTTCACTTCTCTAATATTCAAAATTTTGTGAGTATATGAGGATAATCAGAACCATAGATATATGAGAGGATTTATTAAGGGAACTGGCTCACACAATCAAAGGTGAAGTCCTATGATAGGCTGTCTGCAAGCTGGAGAACCAGAGAAGCTGGTAGCCTGGGTCAGTCTGGAGGCCTCAGAACTAGGGAAGTTGACAATGCAGTCGCTAGTCCGAGGCCAAAGAGCCCCTGGGAGGTCACTGGTGCAAGTCCTACAGCCCAAAAGCCAAAGAATCTGGAGGCTGATGTCCGAGGGGAGGAGGAGAAAAGGTGTCCCCTACTCAGGAAGGAGAGCAGAGAAGTCCCTTTCTGCCTGTTTGTCTCTCAGCCAACTGGATGTCCCTTGCCCACATGGAGAGTGGGTCTTCCTCTGTCCACTGATTTAGCACCAGTCTCCTCTGAAAACACCCTCACAGACACACCTAGAAATGCTTCACCAGCCATCGAGGCATCCCTCAATCCAGCGAAGTTAACAACTAATATTAACCATCACTGTCAGTTTATGCATAAAGGTATAATGCTTTGTGTGGAATGCAAATGACCTGTAACAAGGGATGGTGGTGGCAAAGCCCCCTGGCTTCATTTAGGAAAACCTTGTGAGAAGGAATTTAAATAGAGCAGAAGAATGGAAAGAATGGGGTTTTGCAAGAAACCACCACAGATGCCTTTTGGAAGCATAGAGTATAAATTATCAATAGGCCCCTGAGAGAACGCCTTTTTCCACCTGTGTGAATGGCCAGATGTGAGAGGGAAAAGGCAGCCAAGACATTACTGTTTTCTTGACAACTGTATCTTTTAATTTTAGGCTCCGGCACCAGAACAGATAGTGACATTATATGACGATGAGCAGCATCCGGTTCATATGCCTTTAGTAGAAATGGGGCTTGCAGATAAAGATGAATAACGCCTAAGTGTAAGTTCTTGGTCTATTCATAGCATAAGGCATGGGACTAGTGGAGATTAATGCTAGATTGATCAGAAAAGCATCCATGGATTTTCCTTGATTTCTCAAAGGAATGACAGCAACGCTCCCCAAGAATCTCTTCCAGATTTCTTCATAGGCCTTCTCACCTAGTCAGCACTAGTATCAAAGAGGCCCCCTATCTGTAAGGACGCTTGGATGGGCTGTCATGACTCTCACAGTACCAGGGTACATGGGGACAGCAGGAGAGAGTGGGCACTGTAAGTAAAGCACATAAATACCCGCTAAGCACACAGAACTACTGAGCAGCCACCATCCTCATACCAAGTTACTGAAGTACATGGGTAGCCAGCTTTTTAATCTTGTCCATAAGGAATGATTCAGCTAGACTTGCACATTTACATTAAGCAAAGGTTTAAAATAACACATTTTGTTTTTCAGGTATACAGTGCAGAGCATCTATAGAAGCTTAGAAGAAAGTTTTCTGTTATGTTTAGACTATGTCTTACATTTAGACTATTTCAGGCTTAATTTTCTTAACTTGTTCAGCAATAGTGCTTTACCTCTCCTCATTTTTACATATCGAGCTGTTAGGAATTGTGTGGAAAAAAAAGTTAATAAATGTTTGCTTCCAAACATTTGCTTGTTTTATTTTACTATAATTTCAAAATGAAATAGCTAAGACACATGAAAAAAATTCATTTTATACCTAATGATTCAGCTTAAGAAGACAGACATTAGTACGAAAAAGCTGCTCCCAAGCACATTCTCCCTGCATTCTGTAGAAGTGTATTAGTATGTTCTTACACTGATAGAAAGAACTGCCTGCGACTGGGTAATTTAGAAAGGAAAGAGGTTTAATTGACTCTCAGGTACACATGGCTGGGGAGGCCTCAGGAAACTTACAAACATGGCAGAAGGTGAAGGGGAAGCAAATCACCTTCTTCACAAGGTGGCAGCAGGGAGAAATGCAAAGCAAAGGGGGGAGACGCCCCTTATAAAACCAGCAGATCTTGTCAGAACTCATTATCATGAGAACAATTGGAGATTTTGGGTGGGACCACAGCCAACCATATTAAGAGGTAAATACTACTGTTATGATTTGGTGTTTATCATTCATATAAAGGTCTTTATAATTTTACTACATATGAATGCATCCATAAATGATACAGTATTGCTCTGTGTATTTTTTAATGTATCTGCTGTCACACAATCATCTTTTATTTTCTATTTTGTTTGCTATTTATCCATGTTGGTATGTGTAACTCAATTCACTTTTACTGCTATATCCATCCGTGCACATAATTTATCCTGATACTCCTTTACCAGTTTTTTTCTCATAAATATTCCTTTAGGAGCCTTGTATACATGAGCAGTTTTCTAGTACATATACACAGTGATGGAATTTGCTGGGTCATGGGGTTACTTTACTTTTACAATTACTTTCCAACTACTTTTTTGCTTTCTGAACAGTATATTCTACCAATTTATCCCACCACTGGTTGTCTGAGCTCCGTGTCAGCACTTGGTGTCGCCAGACTTTTGCCAGTGGTATTAGTAAGAAAAGGTATCTCACTGCGTATCTCGTTGAATATGCATTCACTGGTTTATTAGCTGGTGACCATTCTGTCACTTGTTTATTGCTTGTTCATATTTTGTCTATTTTTCTATTTGCAATTTTCTTACTGATTTGTAGAAACGATGTATTCTAATCATCCCTGATCAGTTGTATGTCTTCGAGTCTGGGGCTTGCCTTTCCCGTTTTGTAATATCATTTGACAGAAATGTTCACTCATTTAGCAACATTTTTTCCTTTTTTTTTTTTCCCCTTTGAGACAAGAGTCTCACTCTCACCTAGACTGGAGTGCAGTGGCATGGTCTCAGCTCATTGCAACCTCCGCCTCCTGGGTTCAAGCGATTGTCCTACCTCCCAAGTAGCTGGGATTACAGGCATGCACCACCACACCCAGTTAATTTTTGTATTTTTAGTAGAGACAGGGTTTCACCATGTTGGCCAGGCTGGTCTCGAACTCCTGACCTCAAGTGATCTGCCAACTTTCGCCTCCCAAAGTGCTGGGATTACAGGCATAAGCCACCATGCCTGGCCTATCAATGTTTTCCTTTAAGGTTTGTGCTTTTTGTCTCATTTAAAAACCCTTACCTCTTCTGAGATAGATTATATACATATATATATATATATGTACTTTCTTTGAAAAGTTTTATTTTTCATATTGTTAAGTCACCTGGAATTGATAGATTTCATTAACAAAACCTGATTCATGGTGTGACAGGTAAGGTCTATCTCGACCAATCTGTAATTATTATATAAATTTACAAGTAGGTGACTTGCCCATCCTTCAGGGACATCTTGCCTCCATGAGGCTACAGTAATCTCACTGTGATAAGATGAAGGTAGTGGTGGTCCATGGGTTAACACCGGCTACTCATCGTTCATGCCCCTTCTCCTCTCAGGTGTCCCATTTTGAGACATTACAGTGTCTGCCTTGTTATAACTTTTCTCCTCACTATGATTACTACTGGTTGTATGTGACCTATTTATATTCATCCACTGTTGTAACTCCCCATTCTATTATAATTAATGAACCTCTGTAGTAGATCAAATGCTTTAATTTTGGTACTAACTGAACATAGTAATATTTTGGCTACAGAGACGTGTTTACTCCTTGAGTACACTTTCTGTGCAAGTCCAGTGCTCTATGGCTGATGTGCCTGTGGGACATCTATGTAATGTACTTCCTGTACTTGGTTTTTATAGCCATTTCTAACCAATAAACACACCCACTTATTGTAAAAACCTGTACACAGTTTCTAAAGAGTAAAAATGCTTTCCTTACTCTGTTGAAAGGCAGGGTAGGTGAATTATAAATGAGAGCTATCATTGCATTTCAAAGAATATAAAAATGAAGATGCCACAGGATAAACATTTATTTTAGAATCCAATCTTTTCCCCACACATACACAATAAATTAAACAGAATCCACAATAAATGTACATTTTTTAACAAGAAAAATCAGTTACTGTTACTTCATGATCACACAGGGATCGTCACAGCTCCGTGTCCATTAGCACATTACCCTCCTTGTCCTTAACTCTTATCCGACCAGATCTGTACTTCGTTTCTTGATGACCATTTGCATATACGGTTTTAACAGTGCCATCTGGGTACTCCCGTCTCTTGAACTGGGCAGTATGTAGTTCTCTTTGGCCATTATTAAACTCTATGAGTTTGTTGCCATCACTGTAAAATTTAAAATAGAATTTCTTTAAAAAAATAGAAAATAGGCAACAGGAAAACTATTGAAAAGTAGCCTTTTGATTCTGGCAGCTACTTCTGGAGACATCCCTTGGTTCTTTCCCCTGTACAATTGTAATTTTCTTCACTGGTTCTGCCTCATGGTGCTAGTTCCAATTATCAGATTAGCATTTACATGTACCTGTTAAAAGCTTGTTTTAATCATTTATATTTTCACCACAAAATGCTTAGGGATTTTTTTAAACTTGTGTTCTTCCTCTTGTTATATTAAAATAGGCCCTTCTTTCACACATTTAAATACCATCTGAGTGTTTGCTCTGTATCAGGTGGGGAAGAGAGCCATTCCTGGGAAGGGGCATGATCAAACTTAAAATCTGTTTTGAAAGAATGGAACGAAAAAGCATCAAGTTGACTGCTTGACATGCCTATGGGACATTCATTCAAACTGAACCCCCTAATATGGATGTCGTGTGTCATCAGAAATGCAAGGATGGGGCACCTTCTGAGCACAGTGAACAGCTGTCACGACGAGTGGTTTTTCTGTGAACATAATGGTGTCATACCGTTGTACTCTGACAATTGTACCATCTGGGAAAATGCTTTCTTCTTGTCCATCAGGAAATAAGTTTTTAACAGTCTGGTCAGGAAATGTGATTTCTTTTCTTCCATCTGGGAAATGTTTTTCTGTTTAAAAAGTTACAATAAATATTTTTTGAAGGAAGGGAAGAATTTAATGAGAGGGTGAAACAAGTTTGTACCTATTTGTCCACTTGAGAAATGTAAGACTTCCAGTCCCTCCGGGTACGTCGTGTGAGTGGTCTGGGCAGCTGCGTAGTAGTAGATCTGTAAAGACACACAGTCAGTCTGCCTTTTCTCCCGAGATGGTTAAGCTGTGGAGGAGAATGCCTCTGGACACATACCACTCTCTGGTCTGGCATGACCTGCTTCACGTCACCATTAAAGAAAGTGACGGTGATGGTCTTCCCATCGGCACTCACTTCCTTCCGAGTTCCATTGGGAAACAGTATAACATGACACCCATTCTTATAAACCTTTTCCACCTAAAAAAACACAAGATTGTCACCTAAGGAAGATTTTCTCCTGACCAATATATGCCTAATTCTCCTCCCAACTGCCTACTTTGAATTTTTTTGTAATAAAATGTAAAACATTCACTCAAAAGATCCTTTATTTCATCAGAAGTAGCAAACTCGTGATTTTCTAATGTTCTCATTCCTTTTCCATGTATTAGCTAGAATTCATCTAAAAAAGAAAACCTTCCCTTATCAATGATTTGTTACCCTAAAGTAGACGTACAGGAAAGTCTAACTACTACTTTTGACTGTTGCTCTTTGTCCTTCTGTCACTCCTCAAGGATAGCAGTGAACTCTAACCCTATAATTTCAATAGAAATGGACCAGTTTAGGGTATTTGAAAAGTAAATTTTCCATAAACCTGAGGGAAAAATTCCCTCATCACCTCTAACCTGTATATATCCCTTTCCTCCTCATTCCCTTTAGCTGGAACCCCCAGGCAGTTTCCCCACTAAGAAACTTTCCTAAGCATAAGAATAAAACTGTGTTGGCTGGAGACGGGGAGAGAGGCCCCTGATTCAGGATCAGTATAAGAAAGGCTGCAAGAAAGGAAGACCTAGAATGAACTGAAGCTTTTAAGAAGTGCCAAGGATTACAAAGGCTTTGGAGTAAGAACAAAAATCATACAGCGATTGTATGCCTTCTTTTGCTGAATCTCCGAATGAGAAATGGCATCTAAAGGCAAGTTATCCAAAGAGCCCTTATTTTAGATTCTATGTGTTTCAACTATTTTAACCAATGTTTATTTTTTTTAGAATTCATTATTTCAAAAAAATTTTTAACCTTTCCATCAGGATGACTGATTTCTCCCTGTATGTTGTGGTCTTCCTCTTCCTCTTTATCTTCAGGATCTGGGAAGTTCAGTGGTTCAAGTGGCTCCCTGGGAGAGGCAGCCTGTAAGCACAAGACATTTTAGCAGCTAAAACCTCCTCTTACTTCCGAAGCCAGATTCTGATACTAGTGTTTACAAAATACAACATTTATAATGTTAAGTAAAAACTCTTTTACTTATGGCTTAGAAACTTGTCTATTCACACATTGATTTCAAGCCTGAGTAATGTATGTTTGAATATATAAAAACAGATTTACTTGTCCCTTATCCGAATTGCCTAAATCACGAGGAGGTGCAGACTTGGATCTTCGAGGTGGATTGCCTATTAGAATAAAATTGTCAGAGTTAGATTTAACAGTTAATTGAAAATTTTACTAGTATGATCAAACATTTCCTTAGTTCATATCCTGTGAACTGCTGTCCTTTATCCATTAGTTAAGGATGTCTTAATGTTTTTCTTTACTAATTTGTAGTTCTCTGACACAGGTGCTCAAGTCCTAGATGTCCAAGAAGACAATATCTGTTCTCAGAGTTTACAATCCTGGGGAAGAGACAGGTGATCTAACAGCCTGACAGACAGACCCAAATGTATTTCAGAGACAATCACAAGGTGTAAGGTGCAGATAAAAGGCATCTAACACGTGTGGAATTTGGCTTCACCAAATAACGGGGTATTTAGTTAAAACATAAATGCCCTTGTGGCTGTGGTGTAAACTTTCTATAATATGACCAGCACACCAATCACATACTGTACCAGCAACACATACATTACAAAATAAACACACCTCCACCAACAACAAAGTGAGGTGAATCTCTCAAAATACACTGAAGTGCCAGTATTTTCATCCTATGTGCCAATTCATATTGTAAACACTCAACTTGGAAGGGTCTCGAGCAAGTGCCAGAATCTGACCTACATGTTAAAAAGTGTAACGGAGCTGGATGTTACAGGAGAATGGCCTGAAGGAGGAGAGCGAAGGCAGGCGGTCAGCCAACAAGCTGCCGGGCGTGTGAGGCGGCTGTGCTGTGCCTGTGAGACAGGAATGGTTCCATTACACCACGGGAAACGACTGATTTATAGGTCCCAAACTGCCACACATCAGCAATTTCATGATTCAGTGTAACTAACAGATCCAGAAAATAACATCCGAAGGATCAGTCTAGGGACTGCTGGGAGTGGATGGTGAAGGATAACAGAAAAAGTACTCGGAGTACACAGGCGTCTGGGCTTGAGCCAAGGGGCAGATGGCAAACAAGGCTCTGGGGGAGAGCAGGAGTGCTCTGTTTGGGATGACACAAGAATGTCAAGCTTCACCCCCAGAGGTTATGTGTGCAAAGTTAACTATGACTAAAGCTGTGTGACATCATTTCTCATAACCACCTCTACAGAAAAGACGAATAATATTCCCATTTTATAGGCAAGAAAACCAAGGCTAAGTAGTTAAATAACCTGCCAAGGTTGTCAACTAATAAAAGGCAGAACCAGGCTGCAAAGCCACTGTATATCAAATTTAATTCTTCTCAGGCTGATTATGAACTAACTTTAACTTGAACCCCAAGTATCCACCAACTAGGCAGGATAAGGAGAGGTGACCGTGGGCATGGACAGGCTCCAGGTTCCAGCACACTGTCCAGAGGACTGTGTGAACCCACCCTGGAAAGTGGGGACGGAGGAAGCTGGGGGTATACAGTGCCGGAATAGCTGGGTGGGGACTAGGGGAGGGATGTTGATGACCCCAAGAGAGGGAAAGAACTAAGAAGCACGGCTCAAAGGGAAAAGCTGAAAGTGAACTACTTTAAGAATTTAGGTTCATCAAAAGATACTATAAAGAGCAAAAAGACAAGCCATGAACCAGGAGAAGATACTGATTTGCAATATATGTAGGTTAAAAATATACCACTTATACCAGGGGGCCCCAAGCCCCGCCATATACTGGTCTGGGGCCTGTAGAAACTGGGCCACACAGCAGGAGACGAGCAGCGGGTGGGCGAGCCAGCAAAGCTTCACCTGTATTTACAGCAGCGCCCCATCACTTGCATGACCACCTGAGCGCCGCCTCCTGTCAGATCAGCAGCGGCATTAGATTCTCGCAGGAGCAAGAGCCCTATTGTGAACTGCATGTGCGCGGGATCTAGGGTGCGCGCTCCTTGTGAGAATCTAATGCCTGATGACCTGTCACTGTCTCCCATCACCCCCAGATGGGACCGTCTAACTGCAGGAAAACGGGCTCAGGGCTCCCCGATTCTACGTTATGGTGAGTCAAAATTATTTCATTATATGTTACAATGTAATATTAGAATTAAAGTGCACAATAAATTTAATATGCTGAATCATCCCAAAACCATCCCCCTTCCCCCAGTCCATGCAAAAATTGTCTTCCACAAAACTGGTCCCTGATGCCAAAAAGGCTGGGGACTGCTAATGTATACTACCAAAGTGAGCACATGCTATTGGAAAATGGCACCAACAGACCTGCTCAGTGCAGAGTTGCTACAAATCTTCCATTTGTAAAAAACCACAGTATCTGAGGGCGCAATGAAGCAGAGCACGAGAACATGAGTATGCCATGAAGAGAGGCCGTGGACTCCACGGAGGGCAGCTCTGGGCTGCCGCTAATCTATGTCTTTAAGCAGGTGGTGGTAACCCAAGTATTTGCTTTGTAATTGTCAAATTGCATATATCTTTTCTATATTTATTTCATGAAAATAATTTTTTAAAATTCCAGATTAAAAACTCAGATGTGAATGCAAAAGCGCAAAGAAGAAAATGGTGTACTTACGGCCTGAGGATTGAGAAGAATTAAAGTTATGAAAACCAAAACCTATTTTAAAAGACTGGTAAAGTCAACATTACAAGGAAAAACATTAAAAAACACAAACTGAAAAACTGAACCCAGATTGGGAGAAAATATTAGCAGTCCTTGTAACTGACAAAGGATTAGTATGCAGAATAATTATAAGGAGAAAACACACACACATCCAAAATTTTAAATGGACAAAGGAACAGGCAGTTCACAAAAGGGGAACCTCAAATGCTGACTGAATGTAAGAAATGCTCACAGGGCCTTACCAGCTCACGGAATGAACCATCATTTTATATCAACTGGCCAAAATTTTAAAGTCTGGCCAGATCAAGTGTTTGCAAGTATGAAGAGCACACTCTGCTGACAGTAAAAAACTGGTACCACCATGGTGCAGAGCAAAGGGAAAACCTCCAGCTGACACGGCCCGGCATCTTCCTCTTCACATGTATCCTAGAGAAGCCACAGGATCGAGACACGCTCTGCAGCCCTCCTCATTAGCATGCAAACCTACCTGCCCCTCAGCAGGAATGTTGAACTGCAGCAGTGTCCAACGCCATCTCTATAGCTACTAAAATCAATCCACTGGAGGTTTTGTGTGTGAAGATGGGTAAGTCATACGGTATTGAGAGAAAAATTGCAGAAGGACACACAGAATATGAAACAATACCACAAGCTTGAGTGTCCCTTACCCAAAATGCTTGCGAACAGTGTTGCAGATCTCCATTTTTTTTTCCAAGTTTTGAAATATTTGCAAATACTTACTGGTTGAGCATCCCTAATCCACATTCAGAATGCTCCAATGAATGTTTCCTTTGAGCATCATTCTTGCCTTCAGAAAGTTCCAGATGTGGGATGCTAAACCAGTATATCAATTTATGAACACAACATGGTAAAAGAATTTAAAAAAAAATAAGCCTGGGCCATTATCGGGGCAGAAATTAACTGGGGGAATAAGATGATGCACAGGAGCTTCAATTACATTTACAATGTTTTATTAAGTTGGGTATAAACTGTTTATTCTTTACATTCTGAAATGTTTTGTAAAAAGATCATGCAGCCTCTTACCTTGCATTGGAAGATAATTTTTCTTGTATTTTTCTACCTGGGTTCCTGAAGAAATCTGATTGTTTTGAAATCGAACAGATGTGTTCTATAGCATAAGAGAATTTTTTATTTAAAATGAGTGTTAGTCTATTAATACACTAAGTGAAACTAATAAAACTCAGCTAGTGATAAGAACGCTGTGGGTTTTGTTTATTGATATTATTTTCATTTATACAATAGACCAAAACAAGCTGTTATTTAGGAATCACTACACGCACGTGCGTGCACGCGCGCACACACGCTCCTTTTGACAAACATTCAAGTGAGGACACAGCAGGCAAGGTAACCTGAACCATCTCCTCTGACCATTACAGAGCAGGGTGCTCCCCACTCACTCCCCCCAGGACAGTCCAGCTGAGCCCAGCTCTCCCCGAGACCACCACCGAGCACTCCCTGTGAGGATGAGGTGGGCTGAGTCCTCTCTGCATCCCACCTCCATTTCTGGCCAAATCAAGCCCCAATACTACTTGCCCCAGCCCCCACCAGGTCCCTGCCTGCCAGGAGATGATGCTTCCAGTGCTGTCCTTCTTGGTGTCCTACCTCAGCTCCACACCCCAGTGGTCAACCCTAGAACTTGTTATTATCAATACTATCAACGTCTGCAATTATCAACAACCACAAAATTATTAATTTCAAGGCATTCTACTTACAAAAATCCAGAAGGTGGGGCATTCTAGAAAATAATCAGCCTGGTCTCTTCAAAAGTTAATGCAATTTAATAAAATGCTAAAGCATTTAGGGGTGAGAGGCCATGATTCCTACAACTACCTTCAAATGGTTCAGTGAAACAGGCAGAACTATGGCAAAATGTTCCTAGTGGTTGAATCCAAGTGGGTACCCAGCTGTTAACTGTACATTCTTTCCCCTATTCTCTATTTTGGGAAGCTTTCACGCTAAAAGGTAGGGGGCGGCGAGGAGCAGAATGCTACTTTCTCACTACTCTCCCGTCTTTGCAGCTCATTCTGTTAATTCCCTGGCCCTGACCACGCTCACAGCCGACAGACATGGCCCTGCGGGTCCTCGACCCCCAGTGCTTGCCATGTCCTGAAAGCCTCCGGGCCCACACTGCTCTTGCAGCTAAAGTATGCTCTGCAGCAGGCACTCTTGTCACACACACTGTTAGCTTCCCTCCCTCTGCTCACTTGGTGGCATTCACTTGGATGACCACAAGCTAAGAACAACATACGTGCAATTCTCGTTTTAAAATTTCAGTCTCTGACCCAGGTGGGCCCAGGTACAGCCACGAATCACTCTATTACCCCAGCCTCTGCTTTTGTTCACACAGATGACCTCTGGCTTTCTGTATCTCCTCCCCTCCTGCCACCTCTGCCCTCACAGAAGCCCGGGCTGTGCCTGCACCTCCCGCCTCTGGGCATGAAGGCCATTGCCTGGCCACAGCCTGCCCTCCACTCCCTGCCTGGACCCAGCTCCTCTCACTTCGCCAAGTGTGGTGCTTCTGCAATTCTTCCACTTCCTCCTGCATCGATATCTTCCTCTCCACTGAATCAGTCCAACCACTACATAAACACCTGTTAATTTTACCATCTTAAAAACAAAACATTTTCCCTATGGCCACTACCCTCATGTCCTTAATTTACTGCCAAACTACAAAGCTGTTATCTGCTCCCAGCCAATCAGGCTTTCCTCTTCAACACTCCAGGGAAACAGACCTTCTCAAGGCCCACAGTTCCTCCCACCTGGTAAACCCCACGGCCGGTTTCAGTCCTCTGAGCTGCTGCCACACCCGACACAGGCGGCCACTCTCCTCCTTGCAGCCTTTTCTTCACTTGTTCTCAGGACACCACACAGCCTCCTGGCCTCCTGCTCTCTGGCTGCTCACCCACTCCTCCCTGCCTACTCACAGCCCTGCTGCCTCTGCCTGCCCCGTGCTGTATCACACATTGGATGACCCCGGGTGTCTGTCCCCAACCGGAGCCTGTGCTGCCGTGTGCAGCTGCCTAGTCAGATCTCCCGTGTGTCTTGTAGGCATTTCAATGTCCCCTGTCCAAGCCTGAGTTCCTGGTGGCCATGTGCTCCCTTCTTGCAGTTGCTCCTAGTCAGTGGGACCTTCGTGAGACCAACACACAAAACTAAGTTGAGGCCATTCCTGACTCCTTCCTTGATGTCACCACCAACCACACACACAGCTCAACGACAAACACAGTCTGCTTCTCTCCACCTGCCACTGCCACCCGGTCCCCCGAGCCCTACCGCGTGCCTGGTGTTGCCCACGCTCCCTTCCACCTGTTCCTGGTCTACAGCGGTCAGGGGTAAAGAGGCCTGGCCACCGTTTATTCAGAGCCCTCCAGACTCCCCCTCACTCAAACGCCCAGGTGCATGCTGCCATCTGTTAGGACTCCCATCCACCACCCATGTCCCATCCCACCCCAAGGGCTGGCCCACCGCTCCTCGCCCATTCTCCGATTGCCCCGTCCCAGGCCCACTCAGGCGCGGCTACAGCCTGGGGCTCCTCTGCAGGCTCAGGCGGCCACCCAGCCACTCCTCACATGCGCTTCCCAGGCCGTCCCACCCAGATGGTGACGCCACTCCACCGCCCTGCTTCTCCTGGTCTCATCACCATCTCACACACCACACGTTTTATTATTTGACTTATTACAGTCTTTCTTCCACCACTGGAATGTAAGCTTCATAAGGGTAAGGAATTTTGTCTGTTCACTGCTGTACCCCAAGCGCCTAACGCAGTGCCTGGCACACCCTGGTTGTTCACAAAGATGAATGAAAGACCAATTACTTGATTTAAAAGGGTCATATGCATGCAACTCTCGGCCAAAATCTCCCCTGGTCTGTTTTAACAGAGATGATCTGCCTACTGTAGCAAACCTCCTCCACAGGAATTAGAGAAATGAGTCTGCCAAGTACCCGTGTATAGCAACGCTCAGACAATCTTCTTAGTTGTGGTAAAATAGGTATCACATAAAATTCACTGTCTCCGGCATGTTTAGGTGCACACTTCAGTGGCATTAAGGATCTCTGGGGTCTACTACAACCATCGCCCTCCGTCCAGCTCCAGGACACTTTCCACCTTACAAGACGGAAACTATCCATGTTCACAGTCACTCCCCACTGCCCCCCAGCCCCTGGCAGCCCCATTCTACTTTCTGACTCTATGAATTTGAACGCTCAGATACTGAAGCTCCCCCGGCCTGACACAACCCACCGGCCTCCCCGCCTACCGCGAGCTTGTCCTTCTTCTCCACCTCAAGGCTGCGCTCTACGGCTTCTGCTCTTTTCCAGGCATCCAGTCGGAATCTTTCCATCACTTTTATTTCTTCCCTGAGGTCTGTGTTCTCTCTGACTAACATTTCTATCTGGCTTCTGAGACGGCCGTGTGTACTTGACCATTTGGTTTCCTTTCTTTTCAAATCTTCCCGTAAATC